TTAGCCAGACTTCCTAAACATGGCAGCACACTTCCATTAGCCAGACTCGGTGTGCATTTGTATTGTTTCCTAAAAATGAAATGGAACACACAGATACTAGGGGCACATTCACTGATGTTTTCAAATTCGAATCCCCATCAGCATCCTGGCCATCTCCATCACTCTGTGGAGCTCTGGATGTTACTCCCTGCTAACACTGCTCCTCCAATAGCCACCACTGGTTTTTCTTTCTCTCACTGATGGACACCTATGCTGTTACAATGGTAGTTATTATGAATTGCCTTCTGCTGATATTTTTGTATCTTCTTGAGGCTACTCAAATAACCTTGTACCTTGGGGGAAGCCATGTTTCCAGTGTCACACTATAGGAGTCTGACTTAATAAGAAATGTTGGTCTGGAAAAGATTTAGCTAATAAGTTTTAAGCCACTCGTTCTAAGACAACCCATTCTGGCTTCGCACCGTGCCCCACATGTTTCAACAAATTATATTCATTCTTCAGGTCCACACAGTCCAACTTGCATTTTCATTTCCTCTTTGGATTTTTATGTTTCTGAGTTATGTATGTCTTTGGTTATTCTGAATGCAGAGAACATGGTCTAAGTGCTATGGTTCTTTCAGCTATATTGAGACTTGACCCTGTGCCTGCTGGTTTAGTAACTGTCATAAGAGCCAAGTCTCGGTAGTTTCCAAAAACATTTCATGTGTGTTTCACTGATTATGGCTCTGGTCAACACATAGCCAAGAAACCAGTTCCATTAACTCAAACACCCACTACAAAGGCAATTTTTCTAAATACCTAAGACCTTTTGGGGGCCAATGGAATTAATGCTTGTTCGTTGAGCTAGACCACTCCCTAGTTTTTGAGAGTTAAGAGAGACTATGACCAAAAATAAACAAACAAATAAATAAATAATAAAAATAAAAATGAAAAATGCTAAATGAAAAGTGACCCTAGTTTATAAATGTAGATTGAATTGTGTTTTACAGTTTATTTTCCTCTGGAGAGATGGCTCAGAGGTTAAGAGCATTGGCTGCTCTTCCAGTGGTCCTGTGTTCAATTCCCAGCAACCACATGGTGGTTCACAACTGGTATGGGAGGGTCTTCTGTCTATGTGTTGCTTTTATTAGTTAATGAATAAAGAAACTGCTTTGGCCTATAGCAGACCTATAGCAGAATAAAGGTGTGTGTGTGTGGGAACTAAACAGAATGCTGGGAGAAAGAAGGCGGAGTCAGAGAGAAGCCATATAGCCCTGACAGAGACAGATGCTAGGAACTTTAGCAGGTAAGCCACAGCCTCGTGGTGATACACAGATTAATAGAAATGGGTTAAATTAATATGTAAGAGTTAGCCAATAAGAAGCTAGAGCTAATGGGCCAAGCAGTGATTTAATTAACACAGTTTCTGTGTGATTATTTCGGGGCTGAGCAGCTGGGGACCAACAAGCAGCCCCCTTCCAACACACAACCATCTGTAATGAGATCTGGTGCTCTCTTCTGGCATGTAGGCATACATGCAGACAGAACACTAAGCATAATAAATAAATCTTAAAAAAGAAAACCTTTTTTCTTCTACATATCTTTCAACCAAACACTCCAAATTTGTTTATAATTTTAAAAGTCATACACTAAGGATCTCTATGAGTGAACAGGGCTCTTGTTTTCTGCTCAAGGTGCCCCTTAGTAATTAAACTTCGTGTCTATTTTCTGAGACAAGGTCTCAAGTAGCCTTGACTGGTTTGGAACTCTCTCTGTAGACCAGGCTGGCTTCATATTCACAGAGATTCACTTGCTTCTACTTCCCAAGTATTGGGATTAAAGGTGTGCACTACCACACTCAGCAGAAATTAAACATTTTCTTTCTCTCTTTTTTTAATCTTTATTTATTTATTTATTTAATTTTTTTTGAGGCAGGGTTTCTCTATGTATTCCTGGCTGCCCTAGAACTCACTCTGTATATCAGGCTAACCTCAAACTCACAGAGACCTGCTTGCCTCCCAAGCACTGAGATTGAAGGCATGAGCCACCACGCCCAGCAGAAATTAAACTCTTGATATAAGACTTAGCAGATAAGAACTACAAGTTCAAAACAACTTATCAATATATAGAAGGGTTGTATACAAATGTTCACCGACAGCGGCCTGCAGTGTCTAAAGTGAAAGGAGGGTATAGAAAGAGAGAGAAACGGACCCCCACAATGGCCACCAGGGAGAGCTGCCAGTCTGGTTCAAGCTCCTCCTGGTGGGTGACAGTGGCGCTGAGGATGTTTTTGAAGTCCACTCGATGAGCGATCTCAAGAAGAAGGATGTGGACACCTTGAGGGTGGAGCTGCACCCGTTTGTGCTCTACACCAACAGAGGACCATCACATTCAAGGTGTAGGACACAGCCGTCCGGGAGAAGTTTGGGGCCTCTGCGACGGCTACTACTCCGGTCAGCGTGCCGTTATAATGTTTGATGGAGCATCAGAAGTTACTTACAAGAATGCTCCTAACCGGCACAGTGATGCGGTGTGTGTGTGTGTGTGAAACATCCCCATTGTTCTGTGTGCTAACAAAGTGGATGTTAAGACAGGAAAGGGATGGCAAAAATCTCTGCCAAAAGTAATTACAACTTTGAGAAATCTTTCTCTGGCTTTCCAGAAAGTTCACTGGAGATCCTGACTGGGAGTCTGTTACAATGCTTGCTCTCACCCCACCTGAGCTGGTCATGGACCCAGCTTTGGCAGCATAATATGATTTGGCATGACGTAGGTTGATGAGGATGCTGACCTGAGAGAAGGTGAAGGTGGAGCCCTGCATCAGAACTCTAGTGTTACAACTTCCTGTGTTTCAGTGGTTAGCTAACTGACGTCACCTCAGTTAGCTAAGCACATCACAGACTTCACTGGGATGCTGAAGGAGATGACGGGACTTCGGAGCGAATGCAGCAGTTGAAACATACCTTCCTTTTTTTTGGACTTGCATAGTATTTGCAAATTTAGCTGTTGGGAACACAGTTGTTTCCTTCCTGAATTTCAAAGATAAGACTCTATACAGCACATCACAATATTCAGTGCTGAGGTATCGTTTTTTATGTCATCCTCATTCTTTTTGGTTAGAATCAGAATAAGGTTGAAATCAAATACGTGAGGGAGAGAAAGAGAAACAAGAAAAATAAACAACAGAACTATGCCAGGTGGTGGATGTGCCTTAAATCTCACAGTTGAAAGGCAGAGGCAGGTGGATCACTGTATGAGGCCAGCCTGGTCTACAGAGCAAGTTCAAGGACAGCCTGGGCTACGCAGAGAAACCCTGTCTTGAAAAAACAAAAACAAAACCAAACAGAACAAAAAACCTAAAAGACAGAAAAGTATGAGACCAGCAAACTCTGGAGTGAAAGTCAGAGGCTCCTGAGTGATGGAGTTAAGTCAGAGGGCGGTGAAGTGAAGAAGTCTCAGCAGAGAACCAAGTGGGAAAGAGAAAGAGCGAGAGGAGGAGAGTGTCTACAGCTTCATGTGCTTTGTTTTCTTACTCACGTTGTATGAAGACACTTGCTCAGCCAGTCTCTTATCCCTTCCTGACAAAATATTTTCTTCATCTTTCTTACTGAATGACTTCCTTGCTTCTTGTGTTTCCTGAAGAATGAACATAATAACATCACTTAAAATAGAATTACAAAGAAATACTATTAGTTTTACTTAGATTAAATGACAAGAAACTGAAGTAAAGCCAGCCTGGTTGAATTCCTCCCAGTCAGAAAGAGCTGCATAGTTGAGAAGGATCAGTTAGCACAGGCGCCTGTGGCTTCCCTGAGACAGGACAAAGGGATGGAAAGCAAACCCTCCCAGCCACCCAACTGGATGAGTTTCGACTAACAACCACAAAATGTAGGAAAATTACACACGAGAAATCTTCCACTGTCTGTTTCCAAAAACAGTAAAAGGAAAAACTAAAAAGTGTGTACATATTGACCAATAAAGGGAGAAAGAAGGGAAAAGAAAGGACACTGCCTTTTCAATATACTCAATGGTGGTGTGAGTGTCTATGCAGAAAAACCAGGAAACCTGCCAGAACTGGAACTAGCAGAAGCAAGAACAGCAAAGGGGTGTGACATGAAGTCAAAGAGAGGTGTACCACAACAGAAACAAAATAAAACAAACATTCAAATATTCCATCACACACACACACACGGATGCACATACACATGTATGCACATACACAGGCACGCACACATGTAGACATGTACTCCTTAGACTGCCCTGCAGTGAAGGGTTACAGTTATCTCTAGAGAACATACCAGAAGGAGGAAACTACACAAACATAACTAGACACCATCATTCTGAAGGCATATTTCAAAATTGCTTTTGCTTATGAAAACCTCATATAATTTCCAGCATCCTCACGGAGGCTCACACATGTCTGTAAGTCTAGTTCCAGGGGATCCAATGCCCTCTTCTGGCCTCTGTGGGCATCAGGCATGCATGTGGTACACAGGTATACAATTAGGAAAAATATTCATACATATTAAAAAAAACGATAACACAAAAACTTTTTAAAAACATCAGTGGAGAGAAGTGGGCAGCTCATGGCTGTAATCCCAGGACTGGGCAACTAAGGCAAGAAGACTGCTGAGCTCGAGGCTGGCCGCAGCTAGAGCAAAACCTTGTCTCAGCAAAACAAAACAGCACTGCAAACCCTCGGCTCTACATTACTTAGGTTTGACAGCATGTGCTGTCTTCTTCCTTCTCCTGTGCATACTGGATTGTTTTAATCCCAGCACTCAGGAGGCAAAGGCAGGTGAATCTCAGAGTTCAAGGCCAGCCTGGTCTACAGAGTGAGTTCCAGGATAGCTAGGGCTACACAGAGAAACCCTGTCTCAAAAAACAAAACGAACAAACAATCTTTTACATTTTAATTTTGTGGGAGAGTGGGGGAACACATGTTGTGGTGTGCACATCGAAGTCAGAGGACAACTTGGGGTATAATTGACAGCTCCTAAAACACTTGCAAAGATAAAGTGAGAGCAGCCAGCGACAGTCAAGGTCAATGGCTTAAGTCAGATAGGGCTGGGGTGTGGATGGGGAAGGTGGGGGGAGTGGGGGAGTTGACTATCCCTAGTAGCACATAAACAGCACAGCTCTGTGGCTGGACCAGGGAACATGCATAAAACATGTGAGCTATCCATTACCTTCATGATAGCCCAGAGAACTAACCAACCTCACAGCAATTACTCAGGCCCTGCCCAGTCTTTGCCACAGACCTTTAAAACCTGAGAGCAGTTCTTGGAAACTCCTACCACTCTCAAGTGTTCCAATTTTCTTTAATTTCTTACCTTTCCTCAATTTCTCACATCTCTGTAATCCTCCTGAATAAAGCCTGCTTCCATCTCGTATAAAGCCACCAGTACGGGTGTTTTCAATCCTCACTAGTGTCGGACGACGGACTCAGAGTCACCCAAGTCCTTGGGTTATGTACAACTGTCCTGTTGCCCTCAAAACCCTACATCATCAGTACCCTCCAATAATTTCATCTTCTATCTTGGCAAGTTCAAGTCAAACTCGACAGTATACCTAAAGAAAATACAAAAAGAAAAAGAAAAAAAAACCAAAAATACAAAAAAACCCTGTTACCTTAGCTTTCCTTTCCCGGTCAGCTGGGGTGTCTGTCCAGACCGATCGGTCTCCGGATCTGTCATCAGGTCTTCTCTTAAAGGTTCTTGGCCCCAGACCAAAGTCTTTCATTTCTGGAGGAAGTTCAGTCATCCACGATTCTCTTGTGACTGGTTTCGAGGAGTCCTGTATGAGAAATCAGCTGAAAACAAAGCAGCAGCTGCGCGTGGTAGCGCACGCCTTTAGTTCTAGCTCTGGGAAGACAGAGGCAGGCAGATGTCTGTGTGTTCCAGGCTAGTGTTGGCTACATAGTGAGTTCTAGGCTAACCAGGGCTACAAAGTGAAACACTGTCTCAAAACGAGACAAAACTACACACACACACACACACACCTATATATAAATGCACACATTCTATGCGTTGTCTCAGGGGTTAAGAGCACTTGTCGCTTTTGCAGAGGACGCAGGTTCAGTTCCCAGCACCCATGTGGTTGCTTACCACCATCTGTAACTCCAGGTCCAGGGGATCTGTCTCCTTCTAACCTCCTCACTCATCAGGCAGGCATGCACTAGGTGCATGTGGACACATCAAGTAAACCAGTAAAGAAAAGCTTTGAGAACTTACATCATCTCCTTTGGTCAATTTTTCCTTCATCCTCTGGGCCCTTTTTTCAAACTCTGTTGTCACGCTATAGTTAACTGGTCCTTTTGCAGGCATTGGTCCAACAATATCCTCGTCCTCACTGCTCTCTGCTTCCTTTGAAGACAAGACAGTATCTTCGTGAGAAGAGACCAAGAGGTTACAGGCAATGACCTTAAACTACTTGGAATTTAGCTGAAATGGATTATGCATAAGCAGTAAAACAAAAAAATCTATTGCTAGCCCATCACTGAAGAGTGAGCTTTCTCTTGCCTTCCTTGAAGATGACAGCTGCATAGCATGTGGACTGTCCCATTTCCCTTCCTATGTCACCGTAGACCTCACTATATTTTCCTATCCATATGCCCCCACTATTATGTTGCTGGTAGGAATCCAGGCTTTGCACATGTTAGGCAAGGACTCTACCCCTGAGTCTCATCTCCAGGATTTCAATTCTCTTCTTGGTGGACAAAAATCTGGCCTTAGAATTCTTTTTAATGCAGTGTTCCTGGTATTTATGACCAATAGGTCAGAAATGACACATTTCAAACCTACTTTCTTCTCTGTACATAAAAAGCTCTTTGGAATACGGCAAGTGAATCAGGGTATCACTACCATCTTTTATGAAACAAGTATTGTATCCACAGCTCCCAAAACACTGACCCAGATGCAGCAATTCAGTCCCAGCATAGTTAGTCCACTTACTGCAGAGACAAAACAGTGCTGGTAAGTGGCCACCTCTTATTCCCTTTTGCTTTAGATTTAAAGTTCTTCGACTGAGCGACCCAACTCCTCTACCTTGTCTTCAGCACCCGAGACTTCCTTTCCCATGTCTTGTACTCTGTTGATGAGGCCTGTGAGGCTTTTGTTTGACACAGTAAATTTTTCATTTCTGGTTTTATTTCTGTTTGGGTTTTCTTTGTAGTGATTCCATTTCTTTGTTAAATTCTACTTTCACGACTTGAATTTTTTTCAATATTTCATTCAGCTGTTTGTACTTTCAGACTTCATTGAGGCATTTATTCATACCCTCTTTACAGTCCTCGCCTCAACCACATCCACAGTTGCTGTCTAAGGGCCTTGCCTCGAGCTTTAGCTATACTGCGTTTTTCAGGGCTACTGCAATGGGTTACTGGCTTCTGGTGAGGTAATATATTGACTGTTCACAGTTGTGCTCCTGTACAAAATCTAGGCATCTAAGCTGTGATGTATGAGGTATTTCTTGGTGTCCATATCAGGCATGTCTTTGCTGGGTCGGTTTTCTGTTCTCTGGCTGCTGTTGCCCTTTCTGAATCCTAGGCAAGTGTGGTGGCTGCGGGGTCCCTGGTAGACAGAGCTTCTGCAGGTTGATGGGTGACAGAAGGGGATGTTGATGGGTTAGGAGGGAAGACTGATAAGGGCTGTGGTAAAGAGTGGGGGGTGGGGGCTGGGGTCCACACCGAGGCAGAGTCCCCAGGAAATGCGGGTGGTGGCCAGAGAGGCTCCTGCAGGCAGGCTGCTACAGGACCAAGAGCAAGTCTAGAAAGATGCTTGTGGAGGACAGGAAGGACAGTGAAAATCACCCCATCCCAGCCCAGGGTGACCACTGGGGGCTCCAATGGAAGGTGCTTCAGCTGACAAAAGGATGAAGATGGGCTGGACCTGCATCTTGTTCTGAGTTGTACTGATGGTCCCAGGTATAACTATGGATAGAGGCTGTAGTACCCCAAGGCTTATAGTTTGTGCTTGTCCTCAGCAGATTTATTACAGTGATTAACAGCACGCTTGTCCTTTGCTTCTGACAGCTTCTACACTTTATTTTATTTTTTAGTTCACTGGGTAAGGAGTTCATTTACATCCCTTTCATTTCCCCTTTAACCACTCAACAGTAGCTTCTATCTGGGGCTGTTCTTTTTAAACTCACACAAGTGCAATTAAATAATTTTATCCCTGCTCTTGTGGATTATCCTGGTACATACACACACTCTAAATGTGGTGGGCTCTGGCACTGAACACCACAGTTGACTCCTATAATAAAACTGTGAAATGATATTCTTTTTCCTTTCTTCTTGAGGAAATAGATATGTGAATACATCTATTAAGAAGATAGGGAGCTTACTTCAAGTTTTATAACTAGTACCTAAGAATACCCCTTACAGGGCCAGTGTTTTCTGTACTCTCACGAGAGCCTTTCCATTCTCTTCTTGAAATCATCCACTGCCGGCTGAACCTTAAATGTTACAGCTTAGCTCTACAACAGTAACCTGTGCTGCCACAACATCTCCATAGATAAAAAATAACGACTAGTGTGTCCGTGTCCGTGTGTGTGTGTGCGCACATGTGTGCCAGTGAGCATGTACAGGTCAGAGGACAACATCATGGAGCCATTTCTCCCCTTCCATCTTTACAAGTGTTTCAGGGATGGAACTCAGGTTGCCAGGTTTGTGCAGCAAGCGTCTTCACACACTGAGCCTGCTCACCAGCCTGCAAACATTATCTTAAGTGTAACTGTAATTTTCTATAGACACAGACCTTTGTGGTACAAGGTAAGCAAATACAAAATATATGACAGACCTTTAAAAATAGATGTATTTTTATTTATGTGTATGTGTGTTTCATTGTATGTATATTCCACATACATTGCGTGTATATTCCACATACATTGTATGTATATTCCACATACATGTGGATGCACACAGAAGACAAAAGACTGTACTGAATTCCCTAGAGGTGGAGTTACACCCAGTGTAGGTGCTGGGAACTGAACTTGGGTCCTCTGGAACAGCAGCAAATATTCTTAACTGCTGAGCTCCTACCCCTCAGCCCCTACAATAACTTTTAAAGTTTTAAGAATTATTAGTGTCTGTGGCCAGGAATGGTGGCATGTGTATTTAAGCACTTGAGAAGCAGAGGCAGGTGGATCTCTGTGAGTTTGAGGGCAGCTTAGTCTACATAGTGAGTTCCAAGATAGCCAGGACTATGAAGGGACCATGCCTTAAACAAATTAACTAACCAACTAACTAACAAAAATCCAATTTAAAAAAACCTCAACAAAACAACAAAACAAAACAAAAATCCAATGACCAAATAAAAACACTAGTGTCTGATGGCAGGACACGCTAGTGTTATTTTAACATCTATCTAATAAGATAGTTTTCATGAAGGTAAAATTTCAACACATCTTGCTAGGTATTTTTAGAAACAAAGATCACCTATGATGTTGAGAGACATGAACTGGATGGAGGATCAGAGAAGCAATAAGATATAACATACTTAACTGAAAATCAGAATCATAAGCCCAAATCTAGCCTGGGACAGCACAAAACTGTGACACCCTGGGGGACTTATTTATAGTGTCTTCACGGGTTTATTATCTCAAGACAGGAGAACAGGGCAGAGAGTAGGGCCGGCAGGGCCCTGGGCAAAGGTGGCAGAATTAGTGTATGACAGAAATCAGTTGGCAGAGAGGAGACTAAACGCCTCCCCATCCGATGGAATCTGGAGAGTGACACACAAGCAGAGCGCCCCCAAGTGTCTGTGGGTGGGCCTGACTCTTGCTCTGGACAGCACACAGAGCATGCCTGTCTGCACAGGTAAGCCAGAGTCTGCACTGCGAGACGCAGAACCCACCTCTGTCCAGCAGACCCACGAGAGCCGCTGACTGTACTCTTGGTTGGTAGTGATCCTTACTTAACAAACCTGTCTCTGATGCAAACCGTATCACTGCTCAGTCCCCTGTCTGGGGACACAAGAACTCGGAACTCCTCTGGGTATGCCCACTGAGCTCCAGGATCTGTGACAGCAACCTTACTTAAAATCTCAACAGAAATGATTCACCTGCTAGGGCACTGCCACAGCCTTGCCCTGTGATCTCAGGCATGTTATTTAAGCTTCCTAAGCCCTGGCAGTTTCTTCTTTTTTTTCCAGGGTGGTGGTGGTCATGGTAACAGTTCCTACCAATAATTACTCTGCATCATTTGCCTTCTTTGGAATCATGAAATTGGGCCTTTTCTAAGTCCTAGGTGGAAAACTTGGATAATTCAAAGCCATTCACTTTGATCTCATAGTATTAACCTGGCAGGCTTACACATAGACACCTATTACAACTGTGGCCAAACAAACGTGAATAGAAAGCCTGTGGGAACCTTCTAGAGAGGTTTTCCTTCCTCTGTTGGAGGTGAAAGCATCCATCCCTTCCAGGTCTGGACACTGGGAACTGCATGTAAATCTGAAGACTTTGCCAGGTATAAGAGGTATGAAGAAAGCACTCAAGCTTGGTGGTGGTGGTGCATACCTTTAATTCCAGCACTGGGGAGGCAGAGGCAGAGGCTGAGGCAGGAGGATCTCTGTGAATTCAAAGCTGATGAGGGATTAGCATGCCAAAGAAGACAGAGCAGAAAGACAGAGAAATGGAGACTGTGTTGCTAACTTCACAAACCTCACAATTCCCTCATTGTTAGAATACAGTGTCGACTGCTCTGCCGGCTAGCTCTGATTGCCTCATCTGCTTGACATGACACCTAGGAAGAGCCTCAGGGAGAAACTGGCAAAACCAAGTTGGCCTGTGGTGCTATCTAGACTACGTTACCTGAGATGGGCGGAGCCACAGACTGTGGGCGGCACCATTCCCTAGGCTGAGGATCTTCCTTGGGCAGCAATTTCCTCTAAAGTTAAAACCTTTCATCTTGGAGGGAAGCTTCTTAAGACAGGAAGTGAAAAGTAACAAAAATACCACCCTTGAAAGATAGAAGCACAAACTATAATCCTTGACAATCTTGTTTTGCTAAATTGGCAGGTGTGAGAACAGCTGTTAACTCATCTCCAGTGTTCTATTCTCACATGCACTTGGCCGTGGGTGTTCTGCTCTTACAGCAAGCTGACTAATCTGTTCAGAGACTCATATTTCATGTGAGCCACATGATTACAGACACCATTAAAATTCTGAGTTTTATTCTTTAAGCGAAAACTTTCCAAACCTCTGAGTTGAAGGATGGTGACACTTGTGCTGGATCTTCTCTGCCTTTGTCACTTTTCTGTGAAGACTTAATGAAACCAGGAGGCAAGGCAGGACCTATGATAGGCCTGAAAATAAAATACACCATTATCATTCTCTCTTGACTCTAAAAAGCTATTTTCAGATAAAAGTTCATGCTCATAAGAAAGTCAGCTAATAACAAATGTTGAAATATGAACTTTTGTGACATTATCTTTACTAGTGTTGACAGCCTTCTACTTCATTTTTAGAAAGAATATTTTTCATTTACTTATGGGCACGTGTGTGCCACAGTATGCACATGGAGGGGAGTGCAACCAGGGATCGAACTCAGTTCTCAGGCCTTACTGCTGCGCCATCAACTAGATACTAAAGCAAGAGTTGTCAATCCTTTGATCCAACTGTACATACGAGGGTATTTTCCATTGTGTACTTTGACTTCAGCTGTTTTGATATTTGCTATCCGCTGAAAAATTCCACTGGGCCTTATAGTTAGAGTCAGAACTTCTTAAGCAGAAAGTGTGCTGTTCTAAGGACATCTACAACAGGCACACACGACAGCGGCCAGCAGTCAGTGGCAAGGCATCACACGAGTTTTTTTTTCCTCAGTATAATTCTTATCAGAGCTACACAGACATTAATTTATGAAGATAAAATCTGTGGTATAATCTTAGAAGACAGTAAATACACTGGACCAGTGAGAAGGATCAGTGGGTAAAGGCTCTTGCTGTGAAGTCGGAGGACCTGAGTTCAATTCCTGGACGCACAGAGCAGAAGGAGAGAACTAACTCCCACAAATTGTCCTGCTGTGAGATGTTCTTTCTGTATGCTGTGAGTATGTGTTCCTCTCATTGGTTAATAATAAAAGCTGTTTGACCAATAGCCAGGCAGGACAAGGTTAGGTGAACAATCACACTTAGGACTTGGATGATGAAGGGCTGGGTTAAGGAGATGCCAACCAGCTGCTGAACGAGTAGGATGTGTTGAAAATGAGGTAAAAAGCCTTGAGTCATGTGGCAAAACATAGATAAAAATATTGCTTAAATGTAAGAGTTAGCTAGTAATAAGCCTGAGCTATTGGCTGAGCATTAATAATTAATACAAGTTTCTAAGTGATTATTTGGAAGTGGTTATGGGACAGGGCGGGACAGAGAGACCTCTGTTTACATTGTCCTGTGACCTCTACATGTGTAGTGGTGTCATGTGTGTCCTGCCCCATTAATAAATAAAATCTAATACAAATTTTTAAATATAGTAAATATAATACAGCCATGCATTCTAAAGTTATAGCAGAGGCTTTTTACTCCAATATAAGCTACTATTTATTTCACACAAGGGTTTTATTGTGCAAAATGTTATTTTCTTTTTTAAAAAGCTGGAAATAGATTTTTTCCATATAATATATTTTGATTATAGTTTCCCTTTCCCCAATTCCTCTCAGATTCTTCCTACTTCCCTCCCCACCCAAATCTACATCTTTTCTTTCTTTCATTAGAAAACAAACAGGCATTTAAAAATAAGATAAAACAAACAAACCAAAATAGAATAAAACAAACAAGCAGAAAAAAGAGCCAAAGAGAAAGCACAAGAAACAACCCCAGAGACAGAGACACATACAGAAATCTCAGAAAAACACAAGATCAGAAATCACTGTATATGAGCAAAAGAGCTGTAAGGTAAACAATGTTTAGGCAAAGCACCAAAAGGTAATTTTCAAAAAAGAAACTACCATAGACTAAATACAAGTTGAGTACAGCTTATCAATAATGCTTGGACCACGAGCATTTCAAATTTCAGATTCTGAACTATTTACATATGCAAAATGAGAAACCTTGGGGAAAGAATCTCAAGACTAAATGTGAAAATTCATCTGTGTTTCATATACACCTTCAGCAAACAGCCTAAGGCAACTGCATATTATGTGCTAGGTAACGATTATATGCATAACACAAGGTTATGGATACTGATAAGCAGACTTGGGGTGCCATGCTGGCTGAACTCAAGTCTGGACTGTAGACTTTCGGGTGAGAAGATCCATCTATAATGAGCTCTTCTGGAAGGAATGCAATATCCCAGGAGCCAGTGACTTATGTACACAAGGCTGGCAGAAGGTCCTAACCTCTAGGTTTTGCGAGCCAGGTTTGTGTACCTGTATCTTTGCAGTACTCTTTAAAGACGTAAGAAGTACTATTTGTTTGGAGAATATATAAAGTGGCAGCAGACTGTGCAGTCCTGTTCAAAGAATAGAGCTACATGGAAATTAGGAACTGGCACATGAGCTCTTCAACTCTGGATATAAAAAGAAACAGCCATCTCTTCTACGTGCTCAGACATACTGGCAGCTGGCATGCATGTTGTATGCAGTATATTAATAAACTGTCATGTGCTGTTTAAGCTCCCTGAGAAGCGGTTCTGGAGTTGGGCCCCATTTCAGGCCCAAGCAAGTTCATCTCATAGTGTGCCAACTGTCATGACTTTGAGTCCAGAAGGAGCGTAAATCAGTTGAGTAGAAACGGAACACAGCTTCAGGGTGAATCGTGCCTTCCCACAGCAGAAGACCCTGCTGCTGTTTACCCTGATACAAAGTGCATGTCGTGGGAACGGCTAGCTGGGGGTCTTTCCCAGGAGGGGACATTCTGCCTGCTTCTCTTTGTCCATCGGGGCCCCAGCCGACTGCTCTCCCCAGAGTTCTCCAGTCAGTCCAGCTGGATGCTGTGTCTGCTCACATTCCACTCTGTCTGCTGACTTAATCTTCTTTTCTCACTTGCTCCATACCTAAGAAACTTACTCATTTAAAACTAAAATAATGGCTATCATGGGTCAGTCTCTACATAAAACTATATAGCATGATAAACTTCAAAAAATTGGCTGAAGCATTATACATTATCACCTTGGAGGAGAGTCGTCCTGCCTCTTAAACCCAGGAGGAAGGGCTGGTCCAAAAAATCCATCGTCGTCGTCATCTCTATCTTGATTTCGCCTCTGTTTTCTGAAAGAAAACATTAACTTTACACAGATAAACACTGAAAGACAATAAACTAACCCTGCCAAAGTAAATATATATATAGATTTTGCAAATATATATATACTTTATTCTTTTTACAACATATATGTGTGTATGTATGTATACACACACACACACACACACATATATAATAGTTCTTAATCTTTTCCTGGAATTTATCTTCAGTTATTTATTTTTCAGGACTAGATCAGTGTTCTGGATCTTGTGGAGAATTCAAGATTCCACTAAGTGAAAAAAATCTCAAGGTCTTTTCAATCCTTTCTCAGGGAGCTGCATGAGTTGGCTTCTGGTCTCTCACTCAGAAGCACAGTAAGTTGCCTTTTTCTGTCTCCTAATCTTACAGGGGCATCAGAAATCTTATTAACCTGTAAAAAACAAAGGTTCAATTTATCTACCTGACCCATTGTTAGTAAGGCTAGATTAGAAGGAAATCATGTATATAAACAGAACATCAACTGCATATCAATTTTAAAAAGAAATTCTATGGGCTTACTTGTAATATTTATTTCAATAATATGTTAAGGAAAAACATCTTATATATATTAAACCTTATTGGACTGGAGACATAGCTCAGTGGCAGAGAGCTTGCCTAGCCTGCTCAGGACTATAGGTTTGATCCCCTAGCACCATACACACAAACCTTATTAACTCATTCATACATCCATTCATTTTAGGTATCTCCATATCTATACACTACTAGAATAAGTTGGTTTTTATTTTTTATTTTTTTGGAGACAGGGTCTCACTATGTAGCACTGGCTGGCCTTCAACTCACGTAGATCCCCTGGCTCAGGCTCTGGAGTGCTGGGATTAAAGGCGGGTAGCACCATGCCCAATTAAAATAAGTCCCTTTAGAGAAGACACGGCTTGTGTGGCATGCCACATGGGAAGACGTTTTCCCTGTGCTGCACGAATGCGAGCACAGAGCTCTCCTAGGAGCTATTGGTTCCAGCCAACCCAGGAGAGGTGTGAGGCCTGCTTTACCTGAGAGACTTACCTGGCAGTTGGACCACTGTCATCTTCTTCAGACTCTTGATTTCCCTCTTCAGACAAAGAACTGCTGTCCTCGTCGCTGTCTGAGGAGTCTGAGCTGCTGCTTCTGTAGTTAGGGGGCAGCGCTGGCCCTGCAACTGCACAAGCGTGGTTGGATGTGTTACAAGTTGCTCGCCAAGTCCTCCTGGCTGAAAAGCTCTCTTCATGGCCATAGCTGCCTGGCATTTACTATGGACTTTAATCTTCTAACTATCCACCTACCAGCCCATCTGCCCACCAGTGCCAGATAAATACTCCTGAAGAAACAAACACAAAAGGATCGGTTCAGAAAAAGTGCTGCTATTGAAACAGCAAAAACATGTGTCTGTGTAGAAGGGACAACTGGGAAGACAGTGGCCAGGGAAGGCCACTTTGACAAGGCATTTTGGGTAGACTTAAGTGATGAGACAATGGCCATATAGCAATCCAAAACATTCTAGACAAGCGGTTCTCAACCAGTAGGTTGCAACCCCTTTGGGGGTCGCATAATCAGATCTCTTGCATATCAGATATTTACATCATGATTCACAAGAGTAGCAAAATTACAGTAAAGAAGTAGTAATGAAAGTAATTTTATGATTGGGAGTCACTGCAACATGAGGGGCTGTATTAAGAGGCTGAAGCATTAGAAAGGTTGAGGACCACTGCTCCAGACAGGGGAAGAGTCAGCAGAAGAGAACAAGCCGTGCATCCTCCATGGAGAGAACAGCTGATGCTCCAGGGTGAAGAGGCCAGGTTGTCTAACACAAAGAGGGCGAGACTGCACTTTGGAGTTGGCATCTTTGGCTTTGAACCTGTACTTTGCCACTTACTAACTATATGAATTGTGAGTTAGTTAACCTGTGTTACTTTGTTGCTCTGTAAACCGAGGCTGACAAAGTTTAAACCTAGAGACCTGAAATGCTCACTAGAAGGAAAATACTAAAGAAGGCTATCCAGATGAACCCTGAGGACATGGTAAGCGCAACAGATAGTTACAGAAATCCCCGCTGCTCGGCTCCACTCACACCAGGTACTAAGAGCTCACATTCATAACAAAGAATGGCAATTACTAGGAGTTGTGGGCAGGAAGGGATGGGGATATTTGTTCAGCAGATTTCAGGTTGTGAGATGAAGAGTTTTAGAGATGAATGGGGGTGGCGGCTACATACACAATATGACTATAACTACTGCCACTGAAAAGTATGCTTTAAAATGCCTAACGTAGTAGAGTCAATTAATATTTTATGAGGACATGACAGAAAAAATTAGTGTCTCAGTTAGGGTTTCCATTGCTGCAATGAAACACCATGACAAGCCGACAAAAAAATATTTCCAGCCGGTACAGCAACACTCACACACTCAAGTTTATTGAAGCTTCACTCACAATATGGAGGAGATGGAGTTAGCCTAAACGGCCATCAATAAATGAATAACGGAAATACGGTATAAAATACACATTGGGATTTATTCAGCTGTAAAGAAAAATAATATTATGAAATTTGCAGGAAATGGATATAACTGGAGAATATTCTATCATGCGGCAACCCAGTTTCATAGAGGCAAACATAGCAAATACAGTGTGTTCTTTCGGAGAGGGTGTGTATGAATATAGTCTATGTAACTAGAAAGGAGATGACAAGAGTTAAAAGAGGTGTTGAGGAATAGAAACATGAAAGGGAAAGGTGTAGGGTAAAAGGGTCAGCCAAAGAAATCCACCCTGACCCTGAAAACAGAGCCAGTGAAAGAAACACACCCTGCCTCTGGCTAACTGAGCATGAAACCAACCAATCGCCTGAGCACAAAATCTAGCCAATCTGAGCCTGTCCAAGTTCAGGGGATTGAAATCTGACCAATTCCCAACCTGAAAATCTTCTCCCTGCCTGGAAAAACCCTACCCCTAAGAAGCCCTATGTAAGCCCTGTACCTGTTCAGTTAGCAGTTACCCTTCTCCACCCTGGCAGAGGCGGCCACTCTTCTGGATTCCTTCCTCCCAAATAAATCCCTTGAAAGAGTTTTGGGTGAAGGCCTTCTTTTGTAGGAGTGAAGCAGAATCTCTGCTGGGAAACTCTTTTTGCAGAGTGGAGCAGAGAAGTAACGGACATCTCTGCTGGGAAACTCCCTTAGGGAAGCAGAGCAGACCACTGTACCGGTAAAGAAGATTTTTGTTGGAAAGGAGCAGGATTGCCACATCCTTCAGGGAGACCATCCCCCACTGGATCATAGTTTCAGGTATAGCCTGACTTCCTGACAAGACAGGATACCTTTGCCCTCACAGGTGTAGGTATCCAGGATACCTTCTCACCGCTGTAGGTATTTCTTGGTTTCTGATACCCAGGGTACCTTTCCCTCCAGAGCTGTACTTGGAAAGGAAGTTATGGGTGATGGGTAAAGGCTATAACATGTGTGAGGGGGATGGGGAGAAGAATCAACAAAAACAAATTTTATTTAAAAATGCCATAATGAGGTCGGGCAGCAGTTAAGAGTGCACACTGAAGTTTAGTTTCCAGAACCCATATCAGGAGGCTCACAACTGCCTCTAACTCCAGTTTCAAGGGATCCCACAACCTCTAGCCTCCTCGGGCACCTGCGTGGATCTCGGGAGTTTGAGGTAAGCTTTGTTTACAGAGCAAGTTCCAGGACAGAAAAATAATTAGGAAGAATCAAATCACATACTTGCTGAGGACTTTGGGAAATTAGTAGGACTCTGAAGCTGAGCTATAACACAAGATTTATATATAATACGTACACACAGTGCATGGTGTCACTCTTTGTAAGAGTCAAAAAACCAGACTCTACTCAAATGTCTGCCACCATTAAAATATGCAAATAGATTGCAGGGAATTTACCCAATATAATTCACTCACACTTCTTTAAACTTAATTGAGTGGGAACTTCTTGATAAAACAAAGAAAAGGAAAAAAAAGTTGAGGCAGGGTTTCTCTGTGTAGTCCTAGCTGTCCTGGAACTCACTCTGTAGACCACGCTGGCCTCAAACTCAGAGATCCGCCTGTCTCTGCCTCCCCAAGTGCTGGGATTAAAGGCATGTGCCACCACTGCCGGCAATAAAACGAATTTTAAAAAACAGCTACACTAGAACCAACATCTGGAAGGAAGACTGGTGGAAACAGTCTCTAGGTAGCCAGAAAAGGAAACTAGGATGTAGGGAATAGTTGCAATATTCCTTCAGCTTTGTTCTTTCACTCCTGGTCTGCAAATTGGAACAAACATTAACAACAGAAAAGCATGAAAGAGTGAAAGGTGTTGATGTGTCATACAGACAGTGCCTATTGCATGGTAAGGTTACAAGACATATTGAAATGGTGGATACTGACATGCCAACAAGTTGTTCGAACCGAGTGTGCTAATATTAGTGTAATGGGGCAGAGAAAAACCCCGAAGAGGACGTGACAATGCTCAGAAAGGTAACATTTAACCTGGGATTTGAAGGATGTGTTGGAGTTGTACAACCAGAGCAACCAAAAGAAGCTTATCATTGAGGAAGCATAAACTCGAGCCCTGTGTGCACTGGGCTGCGTGGGTAAGATGGAATGATAGAAAGAGAGACCAGGAAGTCAGGTCGGGGACGAGAGGGCCACAGGATCTTTGGCAAGGGCCTTCTAACTCCAAAGGGATAGAGATACTAGGTTCTATTTTGGGCTTTATCACTGACTAGCTCTGTGTCCTAGGCACCGATTCTCCGGTCGCTGTCACCATTTGTAACACATGTACTATGATCTTCTCTTACGCAGTTGATGGAAGGGTTAAACAGACGACCGGACGAAGACTGATCAGTTAGCACAAACCTGTTCACTGCACAATCTGGCTCATATTAATCGCAAATTGAGACTGTATCGTCCTTTTAATAATGATCAGGCCCCAAACAATGCTCCTCAGGGCTGACCACGCCCACTCCGCCGTGCTCGACAACCCTTCTCACTAGTGCAGGAGTCCGCTGCTGCTTACCCGGGCTCTGGTCCCTCTCCTCGTCCTCAGCTGTCGCGTGCACCTTGAAGCCTGGCGGCAGTGCCGGCCCGATGAGGTCCCTAGCCATTCGCTGCGACGCACAGTCGCTCACCGTCCAAGTCAACCTGTACACGCAGGTTAAACCCAGTCCCGACGGCCGACCAAGCTTTGCAGCCGAGGCAGGAAGTTTTTCCGGCTTCTTATGATGACGTCACAGCGATCGGCTCATAGGCCAGACGGTCGTAGCGGAAGTGACGCTTAATATTAGTTCCACAATTGCACGCTGGCTAGGTGGCATGGCAGAGCCGACTCCGGCGGGATGGCCTCCAGCCCCCGAGGTGACTCCCGCGTCGGGGACTCCGAGCGAAACTGCCCCGCCGCGCGACAACTGGGTGTTCTGGGCCATGATGCCACCGCCGCCACCTCCTGTGTCGTCCGAGCCGTGCCAGAAGGGACAGTCCCACGTGCAGACCCAGCCTCCCTCCGGAGCGCTCCCCCCGTTCGATGCTCAGCTTCTTCCCGCAGCGCAGCCTCCTTTCGATGCCCAGGCCCCTCCGGATGTACAACCTCAGTTCAGCGGCCAGCCGGTGTGGAATTTCCAAGCCTCGGCGCCTTGGTACTGGGGGCTGTCTCCTAATGGTTACCCCGCGTATAACACGTCCTACTACTCTTCGGGTAAGCTGCTGCTCCTGGTGGTACCCCCTTTGCTTTCTTTTTTTTATCCTACTCTCCCTGCTTTCCCATTTCATCTCTCAGTTCTGCCATGCATTTTTGGAGGCTGGTAATGAGTATTCAAAATGTGTCCCACTAGGTTTCCCTCTTACCTGCTCATTCAAAGTTTATTAATTCAGTCCTACTGTTTACTGGGATCCACTTACATAGCAATGAGCAAAACATATAAGAATCATTACCTTTTGTAGGGGCTTCCTATCTCCCTAATGCAATACAGGAAATAAAACTACGTATTAGAAAGTAATGATTGTACGTATGTTTTAGAACGGGATTAGTAGGGGCTGGCGGTGGAGAAAGTCTATTGCTCTTGCAGAGGACCAGAGTTCGGGTCTCAACACTCTGATTGGGAGGCTCTCAACCGCCTGTAATTCCAGGTTCAGAGAAGCCGAGCCGATAACTGTGTCTGGCCTCCGTGGGGACCAGCACTCACTTGCTACCTACCCTTTTTTTCAATGTGAGGGGATAAAGTGACTAATAAATGATTAATTTATTATTTGCAATCTTAAATGAGTCTCTCTTTTTCTTTTTTAGTTACACATTCTTATTTTCCACGAACACACAATGCACAATTCAATGACTTCGGTTTGCCTCAAAACAGAAAACAGAAAAAGAAGGTATTTCCAAGATGATGAGCGTGGTGCTTTAATTCTTATGTTTACTACTTCATATCATGTGGGGTTTGGTTTTGTTTTGTTTTTTGAGACAGGGTTTCTCTGTAGTTTTGGAGTCTGTTCTGGAACTAGCTCTCGTAGGCCAGGCTGGCCTCAAACTCACAGAGATCCTCCTGCCTCTGCTTCCCGAGTGCTGGGATTAAAGGCGTGAGGCACCACTGCCTGGCTCATATCCTGTGTTTCACATCTGTTATGGACATGTGGCGCTTTAGCAGGGTAGGATTTCTTTTTTTTTTTTAAACTGCAGTACTTTACATTCTATTATTATTATTATTATTAATGTATATAATGTTCTGTCTGCATGTATGCCTGCCCACCTTGTTGGAGTTAGGTGCGTATGTGTGGAAGTAGGAGAACAACTTCCTGGTATCATTGCTCTCCTGCTGTGTGGATCCTGAGAACTGAACTCAGGTACTAAGGCTGAGCAGCAGGTAGTTTTACCTGCTGAGGCATCTCTGGCCTAGAAGCCATTTTTTTTGAATGGGGGATCATGCCTGGTTTTATGTCACAAGCCAAATACTATATTAAAATAGGTTTTATTATTTTCTGAACCTAACTTAGAGATCAGGTTTTTTCCTCTTTGTGTAAGTTGCACAATTAGTCTAGGGTAGGTTGGGTACTGTCTAGAGCAGTGGTTCTCAACCTTCCTAATGCTGCACCCTTTTAATACAGTTCCTCGTTTTTAATACAGTTTTGTTGTGGTGACCCCCAACCATAAAATTATCTTGTTACCTCATAACTAATTCTGCTGCTGTTATGAATTGTAATGTAAATGTCTGATATGTGAGCCCCGCCCAAAGGGTCCGAGACCCACAGGTTGAGAACTGCTGGTGTAGAACTTGAGAACTATGTAACTCATGCTATTAGTATTACACAGGTGAAGTGTATCTTCTAACAGTCCATTGCTGTTAGCAGTAACGTAATATTTAAAAGCTGGGATTATTTCCTGTATCAGTACTCTAGTATAGCTGTGTCCTTTGTGAGATGCCTTTTCTTTCTGTTTTAAACCTTAAATGGTACCTTTAGATCTGACAGATACTATACCAAATCTTTATTGGGTCCCTAACTTGAAATCTTATAGATTGAATTAGCTCTTTTTAGATTTAATTTTTTTTATTGTGCCTGACTAGCTTGCTATATTGCTTAAAAAAAGAAGAAGAAGAAGAAGAAGAAGAAGAAGAAGAAGAAGAAGAAGAAGAAGCCCCCACCCCAGGGATGTGTTTTAAAGCAAATCAAATGTATATTCCTGGAATAGTTATGTTTTGTTGAGCCGAGATTTCCTACCACAGTCTTACTGCTTTTGCTTGTTTGCAGAAAAGAAAGGAACCGGTTTTCCACTTCTTCTGTGATACATGTGACCGTGGCTTTAAAAACCAAGAAAAATATGACATACACATGTCTGAACATACAAAAGTACGTTTTCCTGGTTGTTCTGAACTGATGTAGATATGGCCTTTATTTGTATTTTTCGTAAAAGTGCCAAGTTACTTTCCTTGTAAGTTGATAGTTTTTACAGAAAGAAATGTTTGATGACTTAACCCGTGGGGACAGTGCCTGGGATTTGGAATTTGGGGGTGGGGATCCCTCTGCTTCATGGAGAGGAGGAGCATGACAACCTCTGTGTGTGTGCCCCGCCGTGACTGCATGAGAGGAGAGAGGAGAGAGCTGGGCCTCCCAGCAGTCGCCCTGAGCAACTCTGAACATTTTTTATTTTATTTTATTTTGGTTTTTCGAGACAGGGTTTCTCTGCAGCTTTGGAGCCTGTTCTGGAACTAGCTCTTGTAGACCAGGCTGGCTTGCAGAGATCCGCCTGCCTCTGCCTCCTGAATGCTGGGATTAAAAGTGTGCACCACCACTGCCTGGCTACTTTTAGATCTTGACAGATGCTTTGCCAAATCTCCATTGGGTTTCTAACTTGAAATCTTATAGTTTGAATTAGCTCTTTTTAGCTATTCTCTAAATATAACTCAGATGATTTTAAAAAACAACAAAACAAAAAACCGATAAGCCAATTAGAATGCTTCAAAGTTGTTTTTTGTTGGTTTTTAAGAAAATTCTTGTTTTGGAAACATTGTTTTGCAGCAGTTCCTTACCTTTAGGAGTTAGGAATGTTTTAGTTTGGCTCAAAGGGAGGCAGAAATGAGTGAGTGGCTGTGCTGCTCTCCCCAAGGATGCCATTCCATTCTAAGTGCAGCTGTTTAGAGTGGTCTTTGCTATGCTGTTGGGCCATAGTCTGTAGGCCCTGGTGGTGTGAACCATTAAATTGTGACCATCGCTGCATTGTCTTTTTGTTGTCAAACTTTTCAGTGCCCTGAAGCCGATTGCTCCTTTAGTGCACATGAGAAGATTGTCCAGTTCCACTGGAAAAATGTAAGTTCTTATGACTTTTCTCACGCTTTTAGCATGTGTTCTCTGAATGATAATAGTAATATTCATGCAGTGTTTTGTACTTTGTGAGGAAGTTTTACATCTCTTACTGTACTTCAGTCTCAAACCGTGCAAGATAGACAGCTCTTAGCTCCTCTGGCAGACAGAGAAGAATGACTTACCTACCCAGAACTGATTCTTGCGCTTGCATGTTGTCTGCTGGTTTGACCATGCCATGCTTCTTAAAATGACTATGGCTGGGTGCTGACAAGCTGGCTCAACAGTTAAGAGCTTGTAGTGCCCCTCCAAAGGACTCAAGTTCAGTTCTTAGCACCCACACTGGACAGCATACAACTGCCTGTATGTAACTCCTGCTTCGGGGATCCAATATCCTAGTGTCTGAGGACACTTGCATGCGCGCGCGCACACGCACACACACAAACACACACACATAAACACAGAAACAAAAGACCTGTGAAAAAATGGTTATGTCTACTAATTTTATCTGTCATCTTCCATTTTGTTTGGCGAGTTGGTCACTTGGATATTTAATGTCAATTGAAAAAAATGGGTTCTGCATCTATGTAATAAGCATTATCTTTCTTTCCCCACTGTCATTCATTAGCATTGATCCAGCTACATGAGAAAGACATAAGGCATAGTGAGAATGCTAGTGAGCTTGAAATACTTTGTGCGTGTAAGAATAAAGTTGGATACAATGTTGCATTTAGTTAAGAGCACGTAGCATGCTTCCTGATGTTCAGCAGGCTTTCTGCCCTTAGATGCATGCTCCTGGTATGAGGAAGATCAAGCTAGACACTCCAGAGGAGATTGCAAGATGGAGGGAAGAAAGAAGAAAGTGAGTAAAGAATCGTTAACTAATAAATAACTTTCTTTCCTGCAGCAAGACTGGGTGTTTCAGCATAATGGCCAGCGGGGCTTTAATGGGTATGAAAAGAGAAATGTGATCTTTTATAATAATGCAGACATTTCAACGTGACTGGACTTGATTTTGTGTTTCAATAGTTGTAAATTATGACTAAGAATAGTGTTAGTTGATGGTTAAAAAATAAATGTCTTTATTAGATAGTGGAGTCCATTGAATTATAATGCTAACTCTAAGAAAAAGAACTGTAAGCTACAGTATATGAGGCTATTGGGTGTACTTTGGGGAGGAGTTGCAGGAACTTTCCACTTAAATAACAGATGTGCCATAAAGAAACTATATGGAAGATGAAGAGAGCTGTCATGCCACCTACTAGATGTTCGGTGTCTGAGGCAATAATGGGCTTGTAATGGTATTTAAATGTATAATACACTGGGCAGTGGTTGTGCATGCTTTTAATCTTAGCACTTGGTTTTCTATGAGTTTGAGGCCAGCCTGGTCTACAGAGTAAATTCCAGGACAGCCAAGGCTACACAGAGAAAACCAAAAAAAAAAATGCTGTGTTTATTTATTTTTGTTTAAGTCTGTGTTTGAACTCCTGATCCTTTTTCTTATTCTTCCTTAGCTAAGATTACAGGTCTTTGCCTTCCAGCCTGGCAAAAGGCTAGTTTTAGAATTTGAGAAAGTTGCTTAGAACTCTTGACCATAGAGCATAGCTTGTTAATACATCCATGGCGGTGTTGGTCACGATGTTATGCTTTCCCTGGTCTTAGACTTGGTACTGCTGTACCTTGCGCCTGGAATTGAGCTTGAGAACACTTTTGTTGAGAATTGCTGCCCGAGGGAATATAGAATAGGATTATAGCCTTGAAAGTGAGTGGTGAGGGAGCCTTGGACAGATGCAGGGACGAGTTGTAACCATGAAGCAGTTGTCTCGGAGGAACTGTTATGTTCTCTGTGTGAAGCTCTCTGCTTCCTCTGTGTCGTGTCCTTACAGCAACATTATTTTTATTTTCTTACGCCACCACTTAAGTATCTGGAATTTTTTTTCTTTGTTTTTGTTGTTATATGTTGGTTGATCTTTTCCATAATATTATTTATAGGATAAACAAGTATCAACCCCACTTTCTGTCTGACACTCAGGGTTTGGAAAGCTAACAGCAGTGGTACTGAAAGTGATGCCCTGCTGGATGGGATGGAGACGACGTGTTGGACACTAGCCTTTCCTCTGCTGCTTAGTCTCATCCCTTGGAGACTGCTGGTCCAGTTCAGTGGTGCCTGCTGCTTTATAAGTGTTTAATCCTTTTGAGGGACATTAAAACGGCTCCCCATCCATAGCTCCCATCTTTACAGTGAGCCCCTTCTGGTCTTCACTTCAGCCTTGCTGGTATCTGAGCTCCCTCATTCCATTGTCACTAAGTCCTGTTCAGAAAGCCACGCAGGTGTGATGTGCTCTGTGGTGAACAGGCTGTCTTAGGGACTGGCTTCTTAGTGAGGACTGCAGTGTTTTCTTTACTTGGTTCTCCTGTGATAGAAAGTTAGGTGTTCATTACAATTTGAACATGTTTCACATATTTTTTTCTTAGCCAAAATGTCGAAACTCAAAGAATTGGTAATCAGGACTCTAAGGGTGGACTTGTTTTTCGGTCATTTCTATATTATTCAGAGCTCTGGGTAGCAGGTAGACTTTTTTGTCTATCTTATATATAGGTTTTTAGACCCTTTGACAACTTTGTGAGTTTTCTAAGACAAAGGTCTTACTAAACAGCCCTGGCTGTTGGGAACTCACTATGTAGACCAGGCTAGTCTCCACCTTGTGGCCATCCTGCTGCCGCTTCAGCTTCCAGGGTTTGGGGTCATAGCTTGTGTCACGCAGCCCAGCTGGACTTTTTCTTCTTTCTTTTCTCTTTCTTTTTGTTTTTTGGTTTTTTTATTTTATTTTTCTTTTTTTGTTTTGTTTTTGAGACAGGGTTTCTCTGTGCAATAGCCTTGGCTGTCCTGGAACTCTGTAGTTCAAGGCCTGACTCACAGAGATCCCCCTGCCTCTGCCTCCTGACTACTGGGATTAAAGGTTCCAGCTGAACTCTTGATTTGTTAGTTCTGTCACTGTGCTGCCTCCCTCACAGAAAGGTGAGCTTCCCCTTCCATGAATTTCTGCTTACCGACCCAGCCACCTTCAGGGTCTTCATACTCATCCCGAGTCTACAGGAAAACCTTTCCTGTCTTTAAATATGGGACCTTCTCTCAGCTCGTTTAGCACATTTGCCCGTACTGACTGTCTCATTGGAGAACTGTTTTACATTTTGTATTCTTGAGTAAGTTAAGTATTGGAGAGGTAAGGACATCTTTTACATAGCTGTTTATATCATCTGATGCCATAAATAAAAGTGGTACATGTAATATTACTATATGTAAATGGGATTTGAGATTATTTTATTATGGATATAATTCTGTTTCAATATATAAGAAAGTAATTAGAGAAACCATATTTTTAAATTATGTTTTCAACAATGCCTTTTTATTTTAGAGAAGTTTGGTCAAAGTGTGTTGCACTGATTCATAGTCATGGTTTGAAATTGGTAATGTATCTTATATTTACATTTTTATGATTTTGTCCCTTTTTTAAGGTGTGTCTGTGTCTGCGGGTGCTCATGTCACCATGGAGGTCAGAGGACTGTTTGTAAGAGTCAGATCTTTCCTTCCGCCGTGTGGGTTCCTGTGATTGAACTCAGGTCATCAGGCTGGGTCAAGTGCTTCTGCCCTCTGAGCCATCTTGTTGGCTCCCTGCTATGATTTCTGATTAATACCAGAATCACCAAGACAATTCACCAATCCCTGTTTAAAAGCCAACATTTAAGTGGCTTAAGAGCTCCCCCTTGTGGTTCTTGCCGCAAATGATTCAAGAAGAAAACAGTTTCTAGGAGAATCAGTGATTTTTCAAGTGCTCATAAGAAATCTTAGCAGGCTTTGTGTGTTGGTAGAAATCATATCTTTTAGTAATGGCTTGGCAGTTGTTTATCTTAAAGGTTGGGGTAAACATTTGCTTTTTACTTGTTTTATATTTTTATTTGTGTGTATGTGTGGCAGTCAGGGGTACCTTAGGGAGTTGGCTCTTTCCTTCCACCATGTATGTTCTGGGAATTGAGCTCAGGTCATGAGACCTGGCCACAGGTGCCATTATGATTAAGCCGTCTCATAAACCAGCATTTTGTAATTGAGAAGGTAGACATTTTGCTGTTTATGGCTAAGATCACCAAAACTCACTCTCGTGGAAAAAGTGAATAAATAGTGAGGTGCCTAGAAAGCCACGTGCAGTTGAAGCACTAGCTTTAGTTTTTCGAGAAGGGATTTCTGTGTGTAACCTTGGTTGTCTTGGAACTCACGCTGTAGACCAGGTTGGCCTTAAACTCAAAGATCCGCCTGCCTCTGCCTCCTGAGTACTGGGATTAAAGGTGTGCGCCACCCCTGCCCGCCGTAAATACTTCGCTTTAAAAGTAACTACCAGTCCATGTTGGGGAGAGGTTTGAACCCAAGCTGTGCTGGTTGACCGTGAGAAGCATTCAGAGAGAAGGGTCTGGCTGGAGGGGCTTGCATTGGTGACTGTACTCCAGAAAATGGAGCAACCTTGCTTCCATAACTTAGTGCAGAGTGCCCTCCTTCCTAGTAAAGAACGAGCTGAAGATACTGTTTCTGCTGTTGGCACCACTGGGCAAGCTGCTTTTACTGCTTTTACTGTTCCTCATTTTGATTTTGCATATATAAGGCATATATAACCTAACTTTTAGCTTTTCATTAGGAAAGCAATAGATTTGTTTCAGCTTTGACTAGATTTCCATACAGACCTCATAGGTTGCCTGGTCATCTTTAATGGTGGTGATGGAATGTCCTCCAAACAAAATTGCCGAGAGGGAGAATGTGAGCTGTTTCTGACCGTGCTTGGTGGCACAGTTTTAAGTTTGTTGCTTTCCAAAGCAAAGCCTTATCCTCTTGAATAAAGGATGAACGGGAGCAAGCTTACTGGTACCACTCCTCACGGAGGGCAGGTGTGTCTGGTTCCGGTTTCGAGTGTAGGCTGCAGGTGTTCAGAGGTGCTGGAAAAGGAGCGGGCACGCATGAGTGCTGGAGTGGAGTCTCAGACTTGAGAACCTGGGGCTGTAGGTGCGGATTGGGGTGAGGTTGGTTTGTACCCGTGATGGTCCTTGGTAGGAAGTGTTCTGGGAGTGATGTTTTTAGCACCTTTTAGTTCCTTTGGGTTCTTTCACATCTTACTTCTCAGGTCCTTATCTTGTCACACACTCACAAGTGCTGGTGATACACTCATTAGTGGGTATGGGGCCTGAGCGTGGGAATGTCTGTCTTTGTTCTGGTGTTCTGGAGGCTGGGGTGGGGAGACTGACCTTGTGCTAGTCTGCCTGCAAATAATAAAGTAAGACCTTTTCTAGAAAGGGCGAAGTGGGTTGGGTTGGCAGAAAAGAAGGAATGTGGAAAACATTTTTTTTTATTTTTGGTTCATTTGATAGATTTCTAAGACATATACTCTCATTAAGCAGTTTTTTAAAAATTGTGAAATTATATTATTTCTAGGTACCTATTCTCAATTTATTCTTTATTTTTTAATACTTTAAAAATAGTATTTTTAAGGAACTGAAGGAATTTCAGTTTTTATTGTATGTGTATGGGTGTACCACTTGCACGCTTGGTGCCCAAGGAGGCCAGATGAGGTTGGATCCCCTGGAACTGGAGTTACAGTAGGCTGTGAGCCACCACGTGTGTGCTGGGAATCAAACCTGGATCTTTGGAAGAGCAGTCAATACTCTTAACCGCTGAGCCTTCTCTGACCCCAATTTATTTATTTTTTAATTTTCATTAAATATATCCATAGTATGCGATAGTGCGTCACATATAGGTATTTTCATACAAGTATGTATTTTATATTGCTTCAGGCTCAACTTTTGAAGAATATACCCTAAAAAGTGAGTTCTACAATGGTTTAGCAAAATGCTTTTTATTTTGAACATTACTGTTGTTGTGAGAGCTGCTCTTGAGGAAGCCGGTGTGTTCTCTGACATTCTAGAATGCTAGCTTCTGTGTAACCACTCAGGACTTACAGCCAGAAAACGGTGCTGAAGAAATTACATCTTTGCCTTTATTCCTTCATCTTTATTTTATTTTTTCAAATTAACCAAAGTTGGAGGTGCCCATTGTGTTTAAAACTATAGTTTCCCTCAAGAAAGCAAAAATAGGTGATTCTTAATTCCTGAGCTGAGAGGCAGACACTTGTATTTGAAGTGGACCCTGCGTCCCAGGGCAGACGTCCACTAGGTGGAGCCGTTCCGTTTCCTTCATTGCTCACTCTGGCGTTCCCAGTTCACCTGTATGCCCAGCAGCAGTGTCTGCCACGTCACCATGTTTTATCTCAGACATTCAGAAAGACTTTGAAATTAAAATACAGTGGCATAACTGTGTTAGAGAAGTTTTTTTTTTCTCCAATGAGAGAAAAGAGGAATTGTGTTCTATAGAGATTAGGCCTAGGAGAAAAAGTCAATTTGAGGATAAGGAGAAAGTTGGATCACACACACAGACGTAACGTTTGGCATAGTTTCACTCAGATGTGGTTCCTGCCCCATAAGGACATCACTGGAGACCCAGGGCATAGGCAGGGACAAGTCAGAGCTAAGAAACACAAAGCCAGCTGGACAGTGGTGGTACACGTCTTTAATTCCATCCCTTGGAAGGCAGAGGCAGGCAGATCTCTATGAGTTTGAGGCCAGCATGGTCTGTAGAGTGAGTTCCAGGACAGCTGAGGCTACCCAGAGAAGCCCTGTCTTGAAAAACCAAGAAAGAGGCGCTGGAGAGATGGTTCAGCAGTAAAGAGCATTGGCTGTTCTTCTGGAGGTGCTGAGTTCAAGTCCCAGCAACCACATGGTGGCTCAAGACCATCTGTAATGAGATCTGGTGCCCTCTTTTGAGGGCCTGCAGCCATACATACATTCAAAACACTATATATATATCATAAATAAAATCTTTTTTTAAAAAAAAAAGAAAGAAAAGGAAAGGAAAACCAAGAAAGAAAGAAACCCAAAGACAGGAGACAGAAATGAGTGTGTGGTGTCAGGACCAGTCCACTTGGGATAGTGAGGAAAGGAGGTGCAGGGAGAAGGCTGATTGAGCATCATCACACACGTCTTACCGTTCCTGCCTCTCTAGGTGCAGTCTGCAGATGGAGAGCAGCTGCTGGCCCTCCTCCCAGAAGGCTGTTTTATAACCACTTCTCATCTTTTACAGACGGCAGTACTTTCTTTCATCTTTCTACAGAGGTCTTAGCTTTCACCCTCCTCGCCATCTCTGAGTCTCTTCTGAGCCCCTTCCAAGTTTCAGTTTTCCTGGGCATTGCGTTTCCCCCAAACTGACATAAGTATCCTGACCACATCTGACCATTTATGAGGACCAGGGAAGAATTCACACTCACCTAAGGGCCAAGTCCACTTTGTGTAGCCTTAGGTCATGTTTGCTTCCTCAAATACGTGTTTCTGACTGCTATCAGATTCTCATCTTGTATGACCTTGTTCTTTTCCTATTTGCTTATTTATAGCATGTGCAGTCACCATCTCTTATTTATAGAGGTTGTTTATGGCTGCATGTGTGCCTTGCACGGTCCTTACTGAAATTCACTGCCTTTTCCCCGGATTCTTTCGCCACTAAACATAGCCGTTGCCAGTCTTCTCTCCAGTGTAACTAACCCAGAGGGGTCACCACGTGTGCTCCTCGAGTGGTAATGCAGATATGCATGTTAGTTTAGTGATGCTGACTGCTGGCCCTAGGACATGTGCATGCTGAGAGCTCTCTCCCTCTGAGCTGTAACCCCCGTCCAGTAATACACGTTTAAAAGAAGGTAGAAACATCTTAGAAAAAGTGGCAGAACTCTTGTTGATGTATCCAATGGTACCAGCCTGAATGATGAGAATTGTGTTCCCTTCTTTCATGTTTTCTGTGCTGTGAAGGTTTGTGTCTCATTGTTAGATTCTAGAACCGGTGACTCCATACATCTGTGCCAATAATCAAGGAAAGCCATTTATTTTGCATGTGACTGTCAGAGCTAATTTCACTCTTAGCTGCTTGTATGTCTGGAACTTTTTTGAGGCAAGAGCTCTCTACATAGCCCTGTATTAGACCCTCACTATTAGACCAGACTGGCTTGGAACTCAGATTTGTCTGCCTGTGCCTCTTGAATGCTGGGATTGAAGGCATGTGCCACCATGCCCAGCAAATTAATTTATTTCATGTGTATGAATGTTTTGCCTGCATGTATGTCTCTGTACCATGTGTGTACCTGTTGCCCAGGGAGGTCAGAAGAAGGTGTTGGGTTCCCTGAAAATGGAGTTACAGATAGTTGTGAGCTGCTAGGACCTAGTGGGACTGAGTACAAGTTTTGTAGGTGTGTTTTGGGATGAATGTCCTTTGGTAGTTCAATTCCCTTTGGTTGAATTATGTTTCGTGTAAAATACCCTGGGTCGTGGTCCCTTCTCTGTGGCCTTGGGTTGCTTGTATTACTTGATTTACTTAGAACAAATCCATGCTTTTCCACCTGAGTGCCATCTCTTAGTACCATTTCAGACCAGCTGGTCTCGTGTCCCTTTGTGGACTTCTTCATTTTGAAATAATCTCACCCCATCCAAAAAGAAAATTCCTCTCCTGGGTGTTTGACTATATTTTCTCTTAGGTGCAGCTGATCTTATGCTTTTCCTCAGTAGACTTGGTGGCTTTCCATGTGCAGAGCATGTATTTTGCAGAACTGGCCAGGCAGGTTGTTTCTTTGTGTATGGGTACATGATAAATAGAGACCTTAGAGCAGTTTGCACGTGTGTGAATTATACAGTCGGAATCCTAGCATGCACTGCCTACCTGTTTGCTGAGTGTGTAAACAGCTGTGAGTAACATCGATTCATAAACTGCATTTTCTCTCTTAAATTTTAGAAGTAATTGAAAGGATTTTTTTCTAAGTGTTACATGTAGTTTTACTATTACCTGACACATACCAAGGATATATTAGTTGACAATCCAAATTAACAAAACAAACGTGGCCATTCACTTCAGTGGGTCATCATATTCTCAGTGACTGGGGAGACAAGAATTACAAACATCTACCAAGCATATGCTTCAAAACTGGATTCACCAGAGATTGTGCTGTGAAAACTGTGCTGACAGAGTTCTTTCTTCTTCTTGTTTTTACTGTTTACTTTTTTTTAATTGATTTTTACTGAGCTCTACATTTTTCTCTGCTCCCCTCCCCTTCAACCCTCTCCCAAGGTCCCCATGTTCCCAATTTACTCATGAGATCTTGTCTTTTTCTACTTCCCAATTGAAAATTTATAAGAACTTTTTGTTTTTATTCTAGAAACTACCCAACTCTGGCCAATATCGAAAGGAAGAAGAGGTTGCAGCTCGAAAAGGAGCAGAGAGGAGAGGTGCTGGCAACCACACAGTACGGGTGAGTTCGTGGAGCGGCTCGCATAGGCGATCTCAGCGTTCTTCTGACGCGCACGCTTTCAGAGTAAGAAAAGGAATGCACCAGTGTGCATCACCCAGTCTGAATTCTTGCTCTGTAGCTTTTGCTTAAAAATTCTTTTAAATTGATCTTAAAATACTGTTACCTGACACGTGTGCTAAGTTCTGAACAAGTCCTTCCCAGCCTTGGCTTTCTGCCGGTCTCCCCAGGGAGCCTTCTGTTCAGCACAGGGATGGTAGGACAGCCCTGCATGGCGCTGCAGTCTGCCCTGTGCTTCTTGACACCATGAAGATCTTCCCTGGAGACTGTTCGTTTTAGGGAAGTATTTAAGGGAGTCCCACAGGGTTGTTTTAGCCAACTCCCTGTTGGCATTCAAACTGTTAGTCGCTTGCTTATTAATAAAAAGTGGATCTATCCTGGCTGCCGTTCTCTCCTGCCAGTAATGTGTGAGGCCTCCTTTCTTCTGCGCTCACTGTTTTCCTCAGAATTTTTTTCCATTTTATTTTTACTGGCCTTATAATTTAAGTATACAAGTCTTAAATGCACAACTTGAAGAGTGCTTGCTCTCTTGCTTGTTCTCTCTCTCTCTCTCTCTCTCTCACACACACACACACACACACACACACAAGCACGTGCATACACAGAAATGGTATACACATCCATTTACCTGCCCCATGAACTGATATACAGAATGTTGTTACTTCACCAAGCTCCCTAAAGTCCTGTCCTGTTCAGTGTTTCCCCATAAATGTTAACCATGTTTTTATTTTTATTATCACAATTTATTCCTATTCTTAGAATTATATAAATAAAATCATACACTATACATTCTTGAATGTGATTTCTGTGTCTCAAAATTCTGAGATACACCCATGCTGTATATAGTTGTAAATTATATTTACAATTATATTCATAATTCATTCATACTGTTATGTAGAGTTCAGATGGTGGCTTGTTCTCAGTTTGGGTTGTTAGGCTTTAGACTCTATGAACATTTTTTGTATGTGTCTTCTGTAGCTACTATGTTCATTTTTTCATGTACCAGATGGTATGTCATGGATTATCTATATGATTAGCTTTAATAGTTTGCCAAGTGGTTGAAGTATTTTGACTTCTTCTCACTGCATCTGGTTTCTCTGTTTGTTGCTCAGCACTTGGTAATGTTGCTAACAATGTTGAACATCTTATGTGGATATTCTTTTGGTGAAGTACCACTTCAGGTGTTTGTTTTTAACTGTTTTTTGGGGTTTTTTAAACATTTTTTTTCTAATTATGTACGTGCATTTGTGAAGGTCTATTGTGTGCAGTGCCTGCAGAGGGCATAAGAGGTCATAAGATCCTCTGGTGTTAGAGTTATAGGCAGTTGTAAACTGCCCAGTGTGGGTGCTGGGAACTGAACTCCAGTGCTCTGGAAGGGAAGGAACTGCTCTTAACTAAGTTGCAACTCCATCTTCAAAAGGCTTGTTCTTGATTTTCAGGAGTTATATACTTGGTTACATAGAGGTATATTGTCCTGGAGTGCCTTGTGTACATTGGAGATGTACCTCATAATTGTGTCCTTTAAAAAAAAATATAACAACAACAAAAAATCTTGGCATTGGTGGCTCACGCCCTTAATCCCAGCACTTGGGAGGCAGAGGCAGATGGATCTCTGTGAGTTCGAGCCCAGCCTTGAACTACAAGAGCTAGTTCCAGGACAGACTCCAAAAAGTTAGAGAAACCCTGTCACGGAAAACAAAACAATACACAGCATGGCCTGATTTCAGGGCTCAAAACACTCATGGAAACTTGTAACTGGAATTACAATGAGTAAGATGTATTTGTGGCTAGTGGGCGTTTAAAGTTCTGCTATAGACATCTCTTGTTTAGGGGTATTTCTTTTATTTTGCTCTCATGGTCTAAGCATCATGGGTCTAAGTGGTCAATTTAACATCCATGTTTCTTTTGCTCTGTTCTTTTCTTATTCCAGCAAAATGAGGGGCATGTCCAGACATTCACAGATGGCAAAGATCAGAAGTCCCCGTAAGCATCATAAATGGAAAAATGGTGGGGCTAGACAGCGAGCAGGCATTGGACCAGGCATTCACGCCAGAGATCCGAAGCCTGAAGCTCCATCCGTGGTTCATGTGGACCCTCTCAGTGCTTTGATACACAGTGACTCTGGTAAGCTAAATGGGAAAATAATATAAGTTACAGGCACATGTACACACAAAGAGAGAGTCATGCTAACATCATTTTCATAGTGCTCTGTGAAAAATTCAGTCCCATAAGTATGAGAGGATGGCTAATTCATCGACTGGGCTAGATTGGAAACACAGCTACTACTTCCTGAGTACGGTGCTTGTTGGTGCTCTGTGTGCTTTCTGTATGTTAGTTTTTTCCTGTAAGGACCGTGTATGTGGCTGGTGCTACGTCCATTTAGAGATGAAGAGCAGAGGCTAAGCCGTGCTCAGTTACACTGATAGCGGAACCTGAGTGTGGCTCCTAGTTCAGTCTGAGTTTGTCTGAAAATGTTGTGAAGCTGGGGAGGGGTTTAGAGAGACCCTTTCTGGCTGTTGTAGTCGGTGGGGGAGTGCTTGATTGTCTGGCGTGTGCCAAGACGTAGGTCAGCCCTTCCCCCCCTGGAGAAGGAAAACAGAAGCTCTTTCTTATCTTTGATAAGACCAAGGAAAAGTCAAGGTTTTTGTTTTTGTAAGGCAAGCTCTTGCTATGTGTTCCAGAACGGTCCCAAACTTCAGTCCTCCTGCCTTACTTTAAGTACTGGGATTACAGTTGTGTGCTACCATGGCTGGTCCTTCCACCTTTCTGGAAGCAGCTTCCCTTACCCATGGCCAAAGCTACCCACCCTTTGCATCTAGTTTTTCTAGTTATGTTGACAGTGGACAGCACAGTCTAGTGCTTTCCGTGACAGCTGACACTAAGCACAAAATAGAGAAAATCTAGACACTCTCCGAAGCAGAGGCAGGTGAGTCATGGCTAGCCTGGCCTACATACTGAGTTCCAAGAGACTCCATCTCAAACAAACAAACAAACAAACAAGTAGAAAATAAAAGAAAGGGAGGAAAACCCAACATTTTTTGAGCAGCAGAAAAGTGAAGGCAAACACTTTAGTCCATGTTGTTCCTTTTCTGTACCAGAACTTAGTCTGCACATCAGCCCTTGTGTTTTAGACAAGGGCACAACAGGTAGTGGTTCTGGACTCACATCATACTTGGAAGTCTCTGCCTAACTCACCTTCTCTGTTGTACTTGGTGCCGGGAGAGCTCTCAGTAGCTGCTTTGAACCAGGACAGGCATCGTTTCAGTCATTGGAGTCTCCAGACTTTGGGTTGGCTTCTCATGGACTCCATGCTATCTGATTTCCTTACTAGTCTACTTGGGGGTTGTTGTTCAGTCTCTTTGTGGTGTTCACTAGTGTGTTAATTGCGTTTCTGTTCTGTGATAAACACCATGATAAGGCAGCTTAGAGAGGAAGGGTTCACTTCCGGTTCCAGAGAGTTAATGGCGAATCAATCCCACACCAGTTAGGTTTTAAAGGGGTATTTATTTTGGGGGGTAAACTTACATACACATAAATCGTCAGGAAAGGAGCCTAGTCGCTGGAGCAGGAGCCAGAACCAAGAGGCTCGAGAGGCCGAGCCGAGGCTTGCCGCTCTTCTTTTAAAGAGAAATATACCACGCCCCAGTGGGCTGGTATTTCAGAGGCTATTGACTGACCGGAATCTGGTGCTCCCGCAGCAGATTTGGTAATTGTAGAGTGGAGGTAGCAGGAGACAAGGAGGCCTAACTCAAAATGTTGAGAATCTTGAAACCTCAAAACCTACCCCAGCAAAACCACACCTCTTAATTCTCTCCAAACACTCAACTGGGGACCAAGACTTAAGGAGGACATCTCATTCAAACCCTCGTGTTCCACTCTCTGGCCTCCATGGGCTGGTGACCACATGATGCACAAAGTGCATCTAGTCCAGCTTTAGAAGTTGCCAGTGTTTGCCACAGTCTCTGCTCTACTGTCCTTCAAGCTCCTGCCAGGATGGCCCACTAGCCTGCTCACAGTGTTCAGCTGCTTTTCTGCTCCACAGTTGCAAAGTCTTTTACATTCCTTCAAAAACCACATGGTGAGGTCTGCTGCAGTGTGGCCCACTTCCTGGTACCAAGTTCTGTACTAGTTAGTTTTCTGTTGCTGTGATAGACAGCACTGCCAAGGCAGCTCATAGAAGTAAGGTGTATTTTGTGTGCAGTTCTGGAGGGAGAGAGCTGTGATGGCAGAGTGGAGGTGGCAGGAGCAGCAGCCGAGAGCTCACTGTGGAACCACAAACAGGAGGCAGAACTTAAAGTGTCCCCAGTGACAGAACTCCCTCCAGCAAGGCCACATTACTTCATCTTCCCCAAACAGCCAATAGCTGGGGACCAAATATTCAAATTCCTGAGACTTATGGGGGGTATCTCATTCAAACCACTACAGCAAGGTAGGACCCAGTTTGTTTAAAATTTTACAAATTATAGTTTTATTTATTTATACGTTTGCTGTATGAGTTAGAAAGTATCTGGTCAGTAAAATGTCCTCAAACTTCTGGCCATGCAGAGCCTGGTGTTTCCTCGTACAAATACAGCTGTGCCCCTGAAGCACGGGAACAGCTGTCCTGACACTGATGTAGTTAGGACTTTGTGTGTGGAAGATGTTATAGTCATAACAGTTATTAATTTATGTGCTGGTTTGAATGAATGAGCCCCAAGGCTCATGTTTGAACACTTAGTCGCCAGTGGATGAGAGTGTTTTGGGAGGATTAGGAGGTGTGGCCTTGTTGAAGGAGGTGTGTCACTGGATGCAGGCTTTGAGGTTTCAAAGTCTTTCTCATCTACCCCAATTTTCAGTTCTTTCTGCCTTGCATCTGTGGTTTGGAATGTGAACTCTCAGCCTTTCCTGCAGCGTGCTTTTATTCCGCCATCATGAGCTCTAACCCACTAGAACTGTAAGCCCAGTTAGAAGTTTTCTTTCATAAGTTTGTTGGGTCATGGTGTTTTATCAGAGCATCAGAAAGTAACTGATGCAGTGTTCGTCCTTCAGTTTCTTTCTTGAGAATGCCAGAGTGTACAGCAAAGTTCCCGTCGGAGGTACTGTGTGTGTGGTTCTTCTCACCCGCCTCCCCTAGGGGATCAGCTCAGGGCCTTCAGCATGATAGGCAGGTGATTCTCTTAATTATTTTAAGTCTTGGGACTAGAGAGTGTGATGGTTTCTCTCCTAGAGGCAGTGTCAAGTAGGTGGCTGAGTACCATGCATAGAAAGAAGCTGTAGACGGCGAGCATGGATGAAAGCGGTTGTTGTCCTTGCAGGGGACCCCAGTTTTGGTTCCAAGCACCCCCATGTTGCTCACAACTTTGGGCACTAAGCATGCGTGTGGCGTACATACATACATACATACATGCAGACAAAATACTCATTCATACACATAAAATAGATTAAGGTGAGTGGGGCCTGCAGGGTCCTACATTTTCCTTGCTGAGCACTATAGTTGGGGAAAGGGTGGGGATTTTAAGGAACTCTGTTGACGCGTTCAGGAAAGTGCTTCCTGAGTCCGAGGTGCCAGCAGCCCTGAATAGCCTCAAATAGGAGCTGGCCACCTTGACTTCCAGGGAGGGGAGCGGTACTGAAAGCTGAGTTGCTCTCAGGTGGAGTGACGCAGTGGACCATGCCTACAGAGTGTCAAGAAAGAGCATGAAGGGTCATGTCCCTTCAGCTCTGGATGTGTGAGAGAAACAGACAGTGTTGATGACTGGCTACTGGTCTGATGATGGGGGAGGTCAGCGAGAACATGATAATTTAACAGTAAGATTGTTTGAATCGGGATTTTGTGCTGTGAAATTTGATTTCATGATTTTTGTTAGTAATCTGTTTATACTCGTATTTTTATTTCAGAGAATTGGGTTTTGCTGCTTTTATTTTTCAGGAGGTCCTTCTTTGTTTCTTGATTATTTTATGTGTGGGTGCAGTGCCTTTGGCTGTCTTCAGGGTGGGTGCTAAGTATTTCTGTGAGAACTTAGAGGTATCTCCCAGGGGATTTGGGAGTAACACCTCCCATCCCTCGCTGTCTTATTTGTGAGTTAATGTTATTGTAATAGATTGGGAAAGGGTTGTTAGCTTTTTGAGATAGGGTTTCTTCCTCTAGCCCAGGGTGGTGTTGAACTCACAGTCCTCTTGCTTCAGCCTCCTGAGTCCTGGAATTACACACATGCACCACCTGCCTGGTATACTACCAAAGTGTTATACTTGTGGTGTGTCCCTCAAATACGGAGAGAGCCTAAGTTGTTTGCACGCATTAGCCCCACTCCTTATCTTCAGGGAGGTGGGCGGTATTGTGAGCTGTGTGACCTCCTAGTCCACCTAACGCTCAGGTTGTAAATATTAAATACTTCTCTCCCGAAACCAGACTTTTAGAGAAATGGCAATCTAGGGCAGAAAAGACACAAGGTTAGCCTAGAGTGTCTCACAGTGTCATGAAGTTCTCTAAAAAAATACAAAGACCACCAATTGTGGTAGCACAAGCCCATGATCCCAACACTTAGGAGGCTGAGGGCCTGAACTGTGGTGAGACCTTGTCTTCAGTAAGTAAGACAGTATAGGACAGAACGGGATAAGGCGTGATCAGAAGGACGCTAGAGCGGCTTTTCAGTAACTGAAGTTGTAACAATTGAAATCACAAAATAGTGGTAAGTTATAGCCGTCCCTCTCAGAAGTGAAGATCCAGGACTCTGTAATAAGCATTTGAATAGATAAATATGAAGGGGTGTGTGTGTGTGTGTGTGTGTGTGTGTGTGTGTGTGTGTGCGCGCGCACATGTGCATGAAGTGCCCACGAAGACCAGAAGAAGAGGTTGTTGGATTCCTTGGGACTGGAATTAGAGGCAGTTGTGAACCATTTTATGTGGGTCCTGGGAACCAAACACGACCTCTGCAAGAGCAGCGAGTGTCCTTAACCACTGAGCCATATCTCCAGTTCAAGCTACAGATGTTTCATAGAGAATATTTGCAGTGCATATATGTAGGGGGGAAAAGATAAATACAAGGTAGCCACTAGAATACCTTAGTAATAATTGTTTTCAAATAATTGCACTGCTTCAGGGCAGCGTACCTGTTCCTCAAACACCTACTGAGAACTGTGGTGCTTTTAACATGTCAAAGGTTTAAGGTCTTTTTTACTTGAGTGGATACTCGAATTTAAGTGTGGAATAGTAGCTCATTTCAAGGAATGAAGAGGAAAATCCTAACTTTAGAAAAGAATAGAGAAACTGGGCAGATCATCCAGCAATCAAATTAAACATCACCAGTAATAAGTCAGTGATGTCATCGGCCGCTGGCGAGCGCCAGAGGGCTTATCCTTTTTGATGTTTGTCAGCAAATGAAACAAAATTGGGTGTCGGGATCAGTCACTAGAATCCCAGCACTTAGGAAACAGAGGCAGGAGAGTTGTAAAAGCCACAAGAAATCTTAGGAAACTGAGGCAGGACAGTTGTAAAAGCCACAAGAAATCTCAGGAAACTGAGGCAGGACAGTTGTAAAAGCCATATGAAATCTTGGGATTGATAAGACCTAAGTGAGATTAGACTTTTAAAAAATATAACATTTGGCTACTACAGGGTCAGTTTCTTTCTTTCGGCCTTGGTCGTCTCCACAGTGAAGGGATAGACTGCACGCTAGCATTCATAATGTGCATATAGAACCTGCGTATTTTCCTTTCTCTTAATATGCAAGATGAGGTCATTGTCTAGCTTGAAATCAAGGAATAATTGAGACATTGTTAATGCATCAGCTAACATTTAGGTCATGTGTATGGTAGATGTGTCTCCATCCCTCGTACGTACCTTATGTGGAGGAGGTACACAGCCAGTGTTCACATAAAAAGATACTTAGATTTCCTAGTTTTGGATTGTCCATGGTTTGGTTTCCCTAGACTGGCTCAGTCTTGAAGCGTTCATGTTGGTTATGGGCTGAACTGATTTGTTGGATAGACAAGTTGTCTTCAGTCTAGCTTTGCTTTATGGCTTGTCTGATTCCATGCTAATGTTTTAGAGCTGCCAGAAATGAATGTAATAGTGGTGTCCTGGGGCTACAGAGAGGCTCTTTGGGTGCCATCAAACCTTCACCTCTGGCAGCCTCTTCAGCACTTGCCATGTTCTCGTGTTGGCTTGTTGAACTAAGTTCTTAGAAGCTTTGGTTAGATTCATTTACATGAACTCTGTGACTTAAATATTTGGTTTATTTAAATGTTAAACAATGAAAAAGTCAAATTTTTGTATTTATTCCTAAATTTAATTTTCAGAGTTAACGATCTTGGCCCAATAACACCCAATGAGTGTTTTGGCTTTTCTGCTACCTGTAATAGCAGAGACTGTAAATTAATTTAATTTAGGGAAGGGCCAAATTCCATAACCCACAAAACATGGTAAGTTAGTTAGGCTGTGTACAGTTACATTTGTCTCTGCTTCCCCTGGAGAACTCTCAATTCCCAGCAACCACATATGGCTCACAACCATCTATGATGAGATCTGGTACCCTCTTCTGGCACGTAGGCATACTTGCAGGCAGAACGCTGTATACATAATAGACAAATAAATCTTTTTAAAAAATTTAAAACAAAGTTTTTAGCCCTCCTAGAATTTTTTGTCTGTGGCAGGGAAGATGAAAGAGGTCATCAGAAATGGCTTGTTTCCCTTACAGATGAGAAGTCGCCTGGCCTTTTAGTGGTGGCGGTTGCTCTGGGCTACCCTCTTTGAATCATTGTTCTTTCCCTTCTATTGTAGAGTCTGATAAGGAAGAGAAGCCACAGAGGACTGTGGTTCCTAAGGAGGTGACACCAGCATTGTGTTCGCTGATGAGCAGCTACGGTGGTGTTTCGGGATCAGAGAGTGAACCAGAAGGTAAGGCGGGGTGAGACTCCTTGTTGCTTTTGCCTTTGGTTCATGCTGGGCGATGGTAGCGTGCAACATACTGTCCCATTTCAGGCCCCTTGTCATGTCTGTAACACCTTTGATAGTAGAATAGAGGTCCCAGCACTCAGAAAGATCAGAAGTTTATGGTCATTCCTCAGCTTGGGGCCAGCCTGAGCTATATGAAGCCTGGTCCCAAAAAAATAATGAAATGAAATAAAATAAAATTTAAGTCTGTTGGGCACAGTGCTGTTTATAGAACACGTTTATGTAAGTTGTCTCATTTGGAATGTATAGTGGCCCAGCACTTGTGTTATTTGTGTGTAGTGTACATGCATGTAGGTATATGCACGTGCAGTGTATGCAGACGTCAAAGGTCCGTATTGGATGTCTTTCTAGATTGCTCCTCACCTTTTGAGATAGGATCTCGCACTGAACCCAGAGCTTACTGAGATTACAGATGCGTGCCACCACCCCCTGCTTTTTCCTGAAGGTCAGAGGTCAGGTCCTCAGGCTTGTGTGGCTGGCACTTGACTCCTGAGTCATCTTTCCAGTCCTCATCTGTTTATTTTCAAGATTCTGTGTGAGAAGTTAGCAATGCCCAGGAGACGTGTTTTACTTTCCAAACAGATAGTATGTGTGGCTTTGTTGTGATAAGCCAGTTTACCTCCTATAGCCTCTCATTTAGGGCCACATACTCGAGTTGTGATGGGCTATCAATCTGATAGAGTATAGTTTAAATCCAGGATTCACACCAGTAATGTAGTATATACTTAGTGGATAAACCAATGTCCTATAGTTGGTAAAACCTGGTCCTGCTTGGTAATTGTGTGTAGGCCTTTCCAACTGTGAGAGTTGGTATGTTTGTGACGGAGAAGGTGTGATCAAAGTTGGAGCTGGGGTTAAGAGTAAGAGATAAAGTGTTTGTGTATAACGAAGGGAATGTAATTGGATAAAGTTAGCGGTCTCTCAGATGACAGTGTTTGTGTACTTGGAGGATGTGAACTAAGGAAAAGCTGGGCTTCGATACAAAACTTGGTGTTTATGTATCTGTCTGTGACATGGGCATGTGTTTGCTGTTGGGGCTATGGGCTCTTCTGGCAGGTAAAAGCTACTTGAATTTTGAAATGTAAACGACTTTGGCTTTATCAGCGTATCCCGTAACAGATGGCTGCCTTCTTTTACCTTTTTACCTTTAAGAAAAACAGTATTTGTTTCTTACTCTTGTTTCCCATATACTGATAGGTAGATAGAGTTATTCTTTAAACACATATTATATTTCCTCCCTATCAGTTGCATTTATAACATGATAAGGAGAAAAGCTATTAACAGGTTAATGAATCCCATAGAAACAAGGCGAACCAAGCTCTCTTCTTTCCCTCTGGAGATGAAGCATTTGATAAGTACTCTGCCTACTCTGGTCTTCAGTTTGAGGCTGCCGCCATTTTTAAATTGGAAGGAAGAAAAGAAGCTAGAAGTCTTTGAAATCTCACACCTTCTCTTTCTGGGGCATCAGGTTTGGATCGGATAAGTTTGTTAGCATAGTGTGTGGCAGAACCTATGTGAAAATGTAGGTTTGGGGACTTGATAATGGAAAGAAGCCAACTATATTACAGAGCTAGTTCTAGGACAGCCAGGGCTACACAGAGAAACCCTGTCTCAAAAAACCATTTAAAAAAAAAGTTATTGGTAGCCAGTATTATGGCTGGGAGGATTCTTACATTTCTCTGGCTGTTTGACCTGGTTTTTCTTTTTATGTTTGTTTTCTCCACATGTAGAAATCCCCATCAAGACTGAAGTGGATGTTCTGCCAGAAACTCAGATTCCTCATAGCAGTCCTCCCAAGAGCCCAAGACAAAGTGTCAAGACAATGGGTAGACCTGTCCCAAGATCCAGGTGGGAGAGCCAGAGGGATGGGCTCAGGAAGGCAGCCCTAAAGAGGAAAAGGAGCTACTGCCACCCGTTATTTGAACCACGAACGCGTCACCCATACCTCCTGGAGATGGTGAGTACTGTTTCTTCACGCCGTCGTGCCCATACATTCATTGTAACCGCAGGGTCACTGGGGTGCTCTGTGTGTGTGTGTGTAGTGAAGGTGGGGTCACTGGGGTGCTCTGTGTGTATGTAGTAAAGGTGGGGTCACTGGGGTGCTGTGTGCTCGTGTGTTCCTTGGAGACACGTATGTGTGGATGTCTAACCTCTAAAGCTATGTTTGACATATAGGTGGTGTTCAGTACATGCAGAACAATTACAGGTTCCATCACTTCTTAACATTTAAGTATAGGTTTAACTACTGAAGAGGAGATATGTGTTGAGGTTACATTTTCAATGGAAGCACAGCTAAATACAGTGGCGAGCTGAGGGAAAAGAAAATCGTCTCCTCTTTTAAAAATGCCTGTTGAGGGCTGCAGAGATGGCTCACAGTTTAGAGGATCCAGCTTCAGGACCCAATACCACATGCTGGCTGTCAACTGTGCATGACTCCCATTCCAGGGTATCTGATACTCCCTTCCAGGTTTACAGGCACCAGGTGCACATACATGCATGCAGGCAAGACCCCCATACAGATAAAATAAAAATGAATGGATGGATGAATGAATCTTTAAAAAAAAAAAAAACATGCCTTTGAAACAACCCAAAAGTAGTGTCAAGACAAGTCCTGAAGTGTCCTGCCCCAAGTCGCCCTTGCCTTCCTCTGAGTGTGCCTTTATTTGTATCTGCCTTGGCCTTTAATGGCTTTACTAGCATCATGTATTCAGACATTTACTTGAAGCTGCAAGAAGGGAGCAGTGTGTCTTGCTTCTGAGACATGGGGATGGTACTATTCAGAGATCAGATCTTCTCTGTCTAAGAGAAGCAGTTTTAGTGACGCTAACGTGAAGTCTTGCGGTTCAGGTGAGGCTTCTGCTGTAGCCAGCGTCCTGTCTGTCCTTCCTGTTAAATCAGACCATGGGTGTGCTCTGTGTGTGACTACTCGCCACAGTCAGCTGCGACTGTTTCAAATGTTTTTCAAACATTTTTCAAATGTCTGTCTGATACTGTTAAAGATCACCAAGTGTGCTCCTGCTCTGTAGGACAGACATCAGAGAGACATCCAGATGAAATTCTTTTTGGCAAATAACACGACTCCTTTGTTACGTACTTTTTCAGGATACCAGGGAATTGTAGCTTTCAATTGTGATTAGGAAAGTGAAGGAATGTGGAGGTGTTTTTACGTGCTATTTTCAGCTATTATTGTAGGTAACACACTTCGTTTTTACCATTTATAGACTTGGATTTGGGGGATCCTCTTTAGTATTTCTTTCTTTCTTTTGATGTTTCTAGACAGGGTCTCTCTGTAGCTTTGGAGCCTGTCCTGGAACTAGCTCTTGTAGACCAGGCTGGGCTTGAACTCACAGAGATCTGCCTGTCTCCACCTCCCGAGTGCTGGGATTAAGTGCTTGTGCTACCATTGTCCAGCCCTCTCTATTGTTTCTTACTAACTTTCTAAGAGTGTCTCTAAGGCAATGGAGTCTTACGTTGTCCAGGCTGCCGTGGAATTTCTGTGCTGAGTGGTATTCTTGTCTCAAGGAATTGAGTGTGCAGGAAAGCACTCCTGCACGTACGTGTGTGTGTGTGTGTGTGTGTGTGTGTGTGTGTTACCTGCAATGTAGGGGAAAGGTCATGAGTTTTAAATTCTGCTTTCCTGTTCTTTACTCTTTCTCCCTAGAGGAGCCCAAATGTGAACAAGGTAGTCTGGCTTTAAGGAAAATGGAAAAAGGAAATGTGTATTTTGACAAATCTGTTCTCCTGTTTTGTGCTCTTTCTTTTAGGAGGGGACATGATATTTTAAGATGTGTTTCTTGGAAATTTTTTTTAAACAGCTAATCTTTTTTTAATGTATATTTTAGCTTCTCGCTCCGGACATTCGACATGAAAGAAATGTGATTTTACAGTGTGTTCGGTACATCATCAAAAAAAACTTTTTTGGACTCAATACTAATTCTGTGAAAACTGAGGCTGAGTAGATGCCTCGTGGTTCCGCACATGAAAGTAAAGCATGGAAGAGAGCGCCATCCTCGAGTAAGCAGAGTAAACCAACAGCTTTTAAGGATCGGATCAGTGGTAAAACTGTAAGCCTCATGGGATATCATGTTGGATTTTAAGTCTGTCCTTTGGCTTTATGTAAATAAATGCACAGCTAGTCTTTTTAAGGGTGTGTCTGTGTTATTGGGGTGGTAACCTGTAGATTTTGCTGTCTCAGTTGCTCCAAAATAGATGCACAGAGACTTACTATTGATATAAATGCTCAGCCGATGGCTCAGGCTTGTTACTGGCCAACTCTTATATTTGAATTAACCTACCCTCTACCATGTGGCTCATGGCGTGTCTCCCTGGGTGGCTGACTGATGTCTCCTCTGACGCCACCCTTCCTTTATTCCCATCAGTCTCTGTTTGGCGTTCCCACCTAACTTTATCCTGCCTAACAGTTGGCCAGTCAGCTTATTTATTGAACCAGTCACAGTGACATATATTCCCACAGTGTACAGGATTATTCCACAGCAGTAACCATGCAGGGCGTCTTAGCTTTCCATTCATGACCTCTTTTCCCAAGGCATGTTTGTGTGACCTCAGACTACATATGTATACAAGACAGGTATACAAGTCAAAGATAGAAAGACATAAAGGAAATTAATTTAAAACAGTTTTTTGGTGTGTATATAATTTTAGCATTCATTAGAGAGAAATGTACTTGCATATTAATGAGGTGGGTATGTTTGTTTTTATATAAGAATTACATCTTGGCTGAGTATTTTCCGCACGATGTACAACATCTTCATCGTTTTCCAGAGTTAATTGATATTTTGATTTTGTAATTGTTAATGCTGAGAATGCTACTTTGCATAAGTATGTAGTACAAAATGACGAAATTATGTAGAGTGCCATTTCAGAAATTGTTGGAAATTCTGTCTTACTCTCAAGCCAGAATCCTTGTAAGGATTTTTATGAAGCTCAAATCAGCAATGCAAACAGCACTTTTTAAAATCAAACGCCATGCAATCTAATGATATACTAATTTCATACGAATTTGTGGAACATAACAGCAGAAAAATATTAAACGTCTTTGTTTTCTGTAACTAAACGATAGGAGCGGAAAAGTGTATGCATAGTGAGAGGGACTGCAGTTCACAACCCACGGCCATCTGGAATCTGAGCTGAGGTTTAAGATGGCGATTATCATGGTAGGGGTAGTGCAAGATGTGTGCTCAGGATTAAAACCACAGTGAGGTCACATGATACAGCACTGGCATGTGCAGCCAGACACTGGATTCATTCCATGTGGGATTTTGAACCGATTTCTTGTCTTTTGTACCTTTCCCGGCTGCCACATTCAGTTGCGCACACCCACGGTTTCAGGAAGACTGCGGTCAGGTTAATTAAGAACTGAAGACGCTGGGTAGTAACAGGCAACACTGTTTAAATGCTAATTTAGTCAGACATAATTAGGCAGAAAGATATATTTTGTTTTATTGCAAAAGAGAATTTTTGTTTGTTTGGTTAGTTGGTTGGTTGGTTGACTTTTTGAGCGGGATTTCTCTGTGTAACTGCTCTAGCTGTCTTATAGACCAGGCTGGCCTAGAACCTACAAAGATCCACCTTCCTCTGCTTTCTGCGTGCTGGGATTAAAGGTTTATGCTACCACTGCTCAGCTGAGAGTTGTTTTTAATGGTTCACTATGTAAAACAGTCACACAGGCCTGAAGCCCTGAGTTCTGTTTCTAGAGCCTACACAAAAATGGGAGAACCGACTCCAGGGTTGTCTTCTACTCCCCCCCCCCCCGCGTTTTTTTTTCCGAGACAGGATTTCTCTGTAGCTTTGGAGCCTGTCCTGGAACTAGCTCTTGTAGACCAGGCTGGTCTCGAACTCGCAGAGATCCACCTGCCTCAGCCTCCCAAGTGCTGGGATTAAAGGCGTGCACCACCACTGCCTGCCAGGGTTGTCTTCTTGACCTTCATTATTGTGCTCTCTCTCTCTCTCTCTCTCTCTCTCTCTCTCTCTCTCTCTCTCTCACACACACACACACACACACACACACACACACACACACGATAATAAATAAAAATTCAAAAATAAACATCAGGTTAATATAATCAGAAAGTCTGTGAATTAAAATTTTTCTTTATATCAGCTCCACTTACAGAGCTCAGGTATTGAAAGTTAGAAAAGCATAATGAAGGTCTAAATGAAATGCTGCTCCTTTTTTTTTTTTTTTAAGAGACATCACACAAAGGTGATTCCAGCAATTGGGATCCCACACCTTTTTTTTTTTTTTTAAGATTTTATTTATTTATTGTGTATACAAGAGGGCGCCAGATCTCAATATAGATAGATGGTTGTGAGCCACCATGTGGTTGCTAGGAATTGAACTCAAGACTTCTGGAAGAACAGTGAGTGTTCTTAATCTCTGAGCCATCTCTCCAGCCCCCTGAAATGCTTCTTAAAAGGTTCAAAATCATAGTGACCTTTTTCTAACATCCCGTTAGAAACCATGTATAAGCCAGGATGGTGGCACATACCTGTAACTCCAGCAGAGGCAGAGGCAGGCAGATCTCTGTGAGTCCAGAGTCCAGCCTGCTCTACAGAGCTCCAGGACAGCCAAGTGTACACAGAGAAACCCTGTCTCAAAAACCTCTTTCAAGGTACACTGTGAGGGGATGGGAGTGTTCGTCTCTTTCAAGGACACAATTAAGATTTTCTGAAGACAGTAATTGAGCTTGTAAGATTTTAAATTTTCTTTAGTGTTCCCATAGAGTGATGACTTCCACTGTGACATTTCATTTGCTATTCTGACTTTCCTAGTCATATAGCACCCTCTTCCCATTTCATGTCATATTTTCCTTCTCTCTTGTTCCCCTGTAAATGATTTAAGGTAAATGAAGGCTACTGAGCTCATGTCTTGTGACAGCAGGGAGTTGGATGGGAGTTGGATCTTCTCTTGCATTGAGCCAACTATTATATGTAGCTTTCTACTTTTTTATTTTGTGTGCATGGATGTTCCACCTGCATCTGTATCTATGTGTCATGCTTGTGCGTGGTGTCTGTGAAAGCCAGAAGAGGTCTTAGATATCCTGCCTGGGACTGGAGTTGGAGGAAGGTTGTGAGCCGCAATGTGGGTACTGAGAATTGAACCCAGGTCCTCTAGAAGAACAGTGCTCTTAACCACTGAGCCACCTCTACAGCCCTCACTTCTACCTTTTTAATGGATAACTGAAAGGCTAGGATTCTGAAAAAAGTCTCTTACTACAGTTGAAAAAATCTACTTTTGTGTGAAGTTGCATTGAAGTTTGTGGATCTTACTTGCAAGGAGAAGGGAAAGCCCCTTTGTGTTGGTCCTGGCCTGTCTCTAGGACTCTGTAATGCCTAACCAGGAACACTGGTGACACCGCAGATTCCAGATACAGATTCAGGATCAGCCGTTGTTTCCCAGCCTGTTTGACTGGCTCATCCATGCTTCCAGCTAACTTTACCTTGCTTTGGAAAGCTGATCTGCCCAGTTCAGCACATGTGATGCTGTTGAGCCTTCCCTGTGTGTCCCCCCTGTGCTTATATCACAGTACAGAAGCACGCAGACCTTTCCTGACTTCAGGAAACTCATTAACTTACGTATATTCAGGGATGTGGTTCTCAGCCCAGTTCACCTTCCTGGGAAGAACTCAAGTTAGAAACCAAGTTGATCCCTAAAGTACCGTGAGTGAGCGGTCTACCAGCGGTTAGCACGTGCATTCCTCAGGCTTAAAGTTCACGAATGAATTCCCAGGTGCCTGCATTACTACATGGTTCGCCGTATTTCAAAGGCTATTAGCAGTCACCGTGAAACTGGGTACGAATCATTTTACTTTTGCCATTTCTTTGTTGTTTTGTTTCTGCTTTTGCTTTGTTGTTGTTGTTGTTGTTCTTGTTCTTGTTTGTCTTTTGAAATAGTCTCACTGTGCATCCTTGACCAGCCTGGGGCTCAGTTTGTATTTTGTAACAGATGTAGTTAGGACTGGAACCACTATTCTGAGCTCTGTCTTGACTGTGTCTGATGGGTTTGCAATGTAGATTCTGTTGTCTGTTCCAAAGGGGATTACAAATTAGTGTCGTCACCCCCCATGTGTGTGTGTGTGTGTGTGTGTGTGTGTGTGTGTGTGTGTGTGTGTGTCTTAGTATGTGAATATGTATATGTGACTGTATGACTGTGAGCGCTTGACTGTCTATCAGTCACTCTCTGGAGCTGACGTGGCCAGGATGCTCCTGTCCGCTCCACCGAGACACTGGTTTTACAGGGACGCCTGTGTTCACACCCAGCCTTTTATGTACATGGTAGGGATCTGAACTCTGGTCTTAATGCTTGTCCAGTATGCCCTCTGACCCACCGGTCCATCTCCCCAGCCCAGTTGCCTTTATTTTTAGCAAGAACTATTTTAAAGTATGTTTGAAATTTACAAATGGGCAGAAGAATATAGCCTGTATGTTTTTCCTTTGTGGAGTAAATGTTAAATATTTGAGCATTGCCAGTTTTGGGATTCAAAGATTTTTGTATTTTACTTGATAATTATTCAAGCCTGTATTTCTGTAGTTTTGGTCATTTAATTCATTTTTGGAGAATATTGTATGAATTGGCAAATTGTACCTTTTATAATTATGAAACACTTTTTTGTTGTTTTCTTCTTTTTTTCTACATAGGGTTTCTCGGCATAGCCCTGGCTATTCTGGAACTCACTGGAATATTCTTGTCATTGGTTTCTTTAATACTTTTTAACCTTTCCCCCCTAATTAATATATTAAACAAAGTTATTTAAGGATATGAGAGTATATTCTTTGTGTGTGGGTGCCTATGGAGGCAGAAAAAGTTGTCAGACCTCCACAGGAGTGGGGTTATGGGGTTACAACTGTGGGTGCTGGGAACAGAACGTGGGTCCTTGGGAAGGGCAGACAAGCCATCATTCCAATCCTCAAGCAGCTTTCAGAGCCTGGGGAATTCCATCATTAGCATTAACTGAAATTCTTGAAACGTTTCAATCATCCCCTACCATATTGGCTGTGTTTTTTCTGTCTCATGCTTCCCTGTTTTACCCTCTTGTTCTTTCGCCCACGTTGAGATGTACCCACTTCAGTCACTAGGGCTTGCCCGCATTCTAGTGGAGCTTGGGCAGAGTTCACAGCCAGGTTA